GGGGGAAGTTCTACGGTCAAAAAAGTTTCATGGGGGGAGGAAAGTTGGGTCTAATCATACTCTACGATGTAAAGTCATAAGTTTAACGTGTGACGCCTGAGGCGCGAAGCGCTGCGGGGGGTTGGTGCGCGAGATGGTCAGAAGGCATAGCCTCTTTGAGAAAGACAGTTCCAAAAATAACGAAAAATGACGATTACCTTAGGAACAATATTCAGTCATTATTATGTGAAGGGGGCATGGGCATAAACGTACAATACCATCTAGACCGCGCATTAGGATATCTTGGTGAAACGATAGGCAACCCAGATTGCATGTGGTACGATCCAGCCATCTCTAGGTCCCTGGTTCAGCTATGCTGTCAGCAGCCTTCAGTGTCATTGAATTTCAGCGAACGCAAACCACCCTCAGACAAAACAGACGCGCAGCCGCACTCCTATGATGAGCATCATACGGTACTGCATGTATATTAGGGCGTATCAAATAAGCTGAAGGCGCTTCTTTATCCTGCTTCACTCCCTCGAACAACATCCAACAATTAAAAATTACCTGGATAAAATTTCTTGTGATTTTATCATTTCTCCTATGAATTTAAGGTGTTTGGTTTCACAACATAACAGGCGCCTGTTATGCTTGAGCCAGCTTCTCATGTCTTCCTTGGATTTACTTTTTTGAGTGAGCTCTTGCTTCTGAGACACTTCAGAGGTTTTCTCTACCTTCATCCCAAAAACATCTTTTTCTACCTCTGGTTTCAGGAGAGATAGTTCTTTGGCAACATCCATGAAATGTCCTCCTTTCTTTTTCACTGAAAAAGATATAATGATAAAAATTGACAACAATGAGAGGTAAAAATTGTACTTCAAAGAGACTTATGGAGTAAAATGAAAATTTCACCAAATCATGCCGCTGAATCAAATTTTAACAAGATGATCATTGCTGAACAACCACGTGTCCCTGAAGTAACTTCTGATGAACTTTGAATATGCATCAAAAGTTCAAGTCGGAGAATGTAGTGGGGTACTCCCTGAGAGGTTGTTGTTTTAATTTTTCTAACTATAATAAATTAATTCAGTTCAAATTGCAAGTAGGTAAGAGTTTTATGCATGTCGTGCAGCATGGTGTCCTTGAAGTAATTTTTAAAGAACTTTAAATTTATATTAAAAATTGAATTTAGAGGTTATAGTGGGGTAGGTACTCCCTGATGGGTTTTTGGGCAATTACGAAACGGGTCATCGGAGCTCCTGGATAAATAATCACATTTTTGTGCTTTTTTAGGGATGAAATAGCAAAAGTGGTTTAGGGCGACAAATTAAACTCCCCCTCCCTCAATCTTGCCGTGACCGATCTGAATTTTCAGGATGTCGTTACCTGGTATGAGTTGCAACTTTCTTGAGATTTTCATGCCCGTGCAAGTTTTTTTGCCCCGGTGGCAGCGTTGCCAAGTTGCGGACTCCAAAATACCGAATTCCATGAAAACACAAAGGTTCCGAGCTGGCATTTTTCCCAAACTGTTACGAAAAATAAGCAATCTGAGAGTTTCAGATAAGGAAAGGCTTATTTAAAGAATTACAAATTGCGGTGCTGTCAGCTTTACGAATTAAAATTCGACAAAATGACCAAAATCACGTTCCAACTTCACATGCTGGGTTTTTAATTCGTTCAGAATAGGTCATTATGATTCTTCCCTACTCTATACATAAGAGAACCATGAAAATTAGGCCGTTACTCACTTGATGGGTGCTGCTGACTTAACAGAAGAGGCCAGACGAAGCGACGAGTCGGGGAAAAACGAGCGATTCGGGTTGACAGAAAGTTCTTAAACCTACTCCATCAATAGAAAGTAGAATTTGAGAAGTTTCTCCTCCCCCCAATCATGTTTCTGTTAAAACCAAATACCTTAAAACTCTTACCTCAAATTTTTGACAAATAAGGGAACTTCCAAATGTTTATTGAATCGTCTTTATACACTCATTTTATTTATGTTTTTTTTTAATGTTTCTGGGCAAAATTTGGGAGAAAAATTTTGGAGTAAAAAAATTTGCTACAACTCACGATTTAAATTTATTATTTAGGATGAAAATGCTAGCACGGAACCTTCGTTTTCTTCATGAAATTCGATATTCTGTAGTCCGCAATTTAGCAACGCTGCCACCGGAACAAAAAAACTTATACGGGCATGAAAATCTCAAGAAAGTTGCAACTCATACCAGGTAACGACATCCTGAAAATTCAGATCGGTCACGGCAAGAATGGGGGAGGGGGAGATTAATTTGTCGCCTCTAAACCACGTTCGCTATTTCATCCCTAAAAAACCACAAAAATGCGATTATTTATCCAGGAGCTCCGATGACCTGTTTCGTAATTGCCCAAAAACCCATCAGGGAGTACCCCACCATAACCTCTAAACTGAATTTTTAAATTAAATTTAAAGTTCTTTAAAAATTACTTCAAAGACACCATGCTGCACGACATGCATAAAACTCTTACCTACTTGCAATTAGAACTGAACTATTTTATTATATTCAGAAAAAGTAAAACAACAACAATTTCTCAGGATCTGCTGTTGCGCAAGCTTTTTAAAAATTTAATTTTATAGTTTCAACTTCATCAATTTTCTTCTCCGTCAATTCTACATACTGGCATAACAACTTTCTACGATGTAAGGAGTGGTCGGGTAACTGAGCAGCAGGGTAACTGGGCCATACCCTCTGTATTTCTACCCTATCAGTGCTAAAATTGTTTTCACAGCTAATATACCTTCATTATGACGTAAGCCATCTAGAACATTATACATAACCTCAGAAATTTTTTTTTTTTTTGGTGAATGGTGATGTGCCGAAAATTGAACAGCTTTTTTCTCAAAACAACTTCGCAGGTGTTCCTGGGAAGAGCCTCATATCTCACTCCAAGTAAATATTTTATTCAACTTGGACATTTCCTCTTTATGTATAATGTATTTGTGTAGTGTGTGAGCAATGGAGAATTTGCACGCAATTTTTTTATTGCTTCATCTGAAAGTGCCTAATGAGCTGAGTTCGCAATATTTTTCATAATTTTTTTCTGACATGGGAAATTGGAGAAAAATTGATTTAAAAGTGAGAAAATGTGCCGCCTTGTGACGTCATCTGGCGGCATTTCCCATTTAAACACATGTATTTTAGCGGAATCGGTTATTTTGTCATATCTCCTCTAATAATTGCTCAATTTATGAATCAAGGGTATCTTCGTGTTCAGTTTACTCAGAGGATTCCACTTAAACAGGAAATTCATCAAATTTCAGACCCTTGCAAATTCTCCATTACAACATTATTGGATTTAAACACTGGCTGCAAAGGGTTGATGCCCAGTTACCTTTAAAATTTTCCTCTTCGTAGGATAACTGGGCAGGTGCCTGGTGCCGCCTGGCACCAAATCTTTTTATGAGTGTTTATTTCATTCCATTCAGTCAAAATATCATTCATGAACCTCATCCTACAGTGAATGTAATTTTTTTTTTATTAAATAAAAATGTACTACTGCCCCTTACGGGGCATTAATTACATAGGTGTTAAGTTTAAACTTAGAGCTAATCTACAAACTAATGTTACATGATTTCATTTCTAATTAATAAACCACATTCAGTCCTTGACCTACGCTTCTCAGTTACAATTCTTCATTATTCTCAACATTCATACATAATCATACATACTACAAAATACAAGTGAAAAAAGACAAAGATAAACAAGTTGTTTAACGACTTGACAGTGGGAGCCATCGTTGACATGAACTCCAACTGTGAAGTGGTACCACGCGAAGATGCGTTTTGTTTAGTTTAGGTAGACCATGGGTACTGCTTTAATGAAACACCCATGTAGCCAAGTCAAAGGGCTTTACCCTTCGCAGCCTCCTGCTGGGATTTTTGCTGAATGCTCCTTTAGCTAGCGGGTTAGGGTGTGCGCCCAGTTTCATATGGTGACGCACAGTCGCTCTCTCTAATGAGGATAGGTGTTTTGGGTATTATTTTGGAGTAGTCATTTTAGAGTACATATTACATATTTTATTAAAGGAATACAGAAAACGTGGTCCGACGAGGAGATCTGAGAACGAACTAGCTAACAGGAAGGGGCACGCTATAAGCGCGCAAGTTCTTATCAAAATGGAAATATGAATCCCAGTATTCGCAGAACGAGTCGCCATTGGAATAATGCGACGTTGTCAAATTGTCAAGATTATGTATAGAATTCCAGGGTTCAACACTCCCCCTTAATCTTGACATTCCTCTAATAAAACGCTTATTATAGTATGGGGGATACATCAAAACCTATGTGTCCTTCTTATGGAAGAACTCTACTCCTCATCGTTACAAAAAGAAACTTAATATTATTGCAAGTAAATAAATTTTTAATAGTGTTATGTAAACATAGAAAAGAAAACATAGAATTATGTTAAGATTTCAGAGAGTGTTTGAAAAATATACTAGAAAAAAAAGTAAATAATGAAAAGCATAGTAAATAGAATTATTTCTGAAATTATTTCACAACCCTATCTCTGAGTGATAAGAATTTTAGTTTCAGGAGGGGTTTTGTGAGCATATCGGCAAGTTGTTCGCTCGATGGACAGTATTGGATTTTGAAAAAACCCTCCGAAAATTTCTCATGCACGTAATGGTGATGCACATCTATGTGCTTGGATCGTCTATTGAATTGACCCTTTTTTACAACTCTTATAGTCCCTTGGTTATCTTCTTTCAAGATGCATCGAACTTGTTTGTCCGTTAATTCTTCTATGAAGGATTTTAAAAACAATAGATTTTTCAAAGTATCCGCCAAAGCAATATACTCACTCTCTGTGGTTGACGTGGCAACTATGGATTGCCTTCGGGATGCCCAGCTGACTGGGTTTTTGTTCAAAAGTACCATACATCCCGAGGTGCTTCGCTGGGTGATTAAATCGTCAACGTAACTGGCGTCAATGCTGATAAAGTTAACTCAGATTCGGTTGACCGTTCAAACAAGACACCATCCCCAGTGGTGCCCCTTAATTATCTCAGTATTCGTTTTATGATATCAATATCATTTTTCTCAGGCTTCTCCATGTGACGACTTGCGTAACTGACAGCAAAAGAAATGTCAGGACGCGTCTTGTTACTGAGATAAAGCAAACTTCCAACGGCTTGCCTGTGTGGGAAATCGTCGGCGGAGTTTCTGGTTCTCTCTATCATCTGACCGGGCTCCATCGGCGTTGAAACAGGTTTACAGTCACTCATGTTAAAGGAATTTATGATTGAGTTTGCATACGCTTCCTGTGACAATTTTAATGTATCGCCCTTGGCCTCAATTTTTATGTTTAAATAACTTGTAGGGTTCTCCTCCAATGTAAGCTTAAATTCTCTCTGCATGGCTTTTACTAAATGATTTTTCTCATCAACATTTTTATACACAACCAGACCATCGTCAACATGAATGGCGAGCCGAAGTGTGCCCTTAGTATTTCTGAAAACGCACCTATCAGATTTCAGCTGTTTTAATCCACATTTCGCAAGAAAGTCAGTCAATCTTTTAAACCATTGTAAAGGCGACTGTTTGAGGCCATAAAGTGCTTTCAGAAGTTTGAAAATGTTATTCTGATACTTAGTATAACCTTCGGGTATTTTCATGAAAACATTCTCCTCTAAATTTCCATACAAGAGAGCACATGTTACATCAAATTTCAGTATTTTATAATTGTATTGGAGAGCTAAAGCAAGCAAAATTTTTATTGAACTTTCGTTCGTTACGGGACTAAAAATTTCTTCATAGTCGAAGTCGTCTTCTTTTTGCTCATTTCCCCGAACGCATAAACGAGCTTTGTATTGACCATTATCTTTAATTCTGAATACCCATCTATTAGACAGTACTTTTGCCCCTTTTGCTTCTATTTCGTCCACGAATTTGTAGACTTCGTTTTCTGCTAACGAATTTATTTCGTCTTCGATAGCAGTTTTCCATTTGTGACCATCTGGTCCAGTTACTGCGTCGGAAAATGTCAAAAGGATACAACTACTCGGTACTGGATCTCCATAGAAGGAATTGAGTTTGTTTTGTAACACGTCCAGCACGTGTTGCGAATTCGTTTTGTTCTTTTTGAAGATTTTCTTCCTCTGTCTCATTTTGAATGTTTTGGAGAGGCTCTCCCTCCGTCTTGTTTGCATTATTTTGATGAATCTCTTCCTCTGTCTCATCTTGATGCATTTCCACCTCATTCTCACTGAGATTTTCTTCTGATTTTTATGATTCACTCTCCTCTCTTTTAAACAGATCCTCAAATGGATCACACACATATTCTGCATCCAAAAGTTTATTGTTACTTGGTTTTATAAATGCAACGTCTCTTGATACTATTATTTTTTTGTCTTTTCCGTCATCCCAAAGTCTATATGCATTACTTGCGTAACCAACTAGAGTATACTTTTGACACCTTTCGTTGAGCTTTTTCAAATGTTTTAAATTTTTGGCGTAAGCCATGGAACCAAATATTTGCAGATACTTAAGATTTGGAGTTTTATCATATCATTTTTCATATGGTGTACAATTTAACCAAGACTTAGGGCTACGGTTTAGAAGGTGTGTTGCAGTGTAAACTGCCTCACCCCATAATTTCTTATCAACATTCCCTTCAAAAATGAAAGCTCTAGCACGTTCCAGGAGCACTCTGTTTGTTCTCTCTGCTGTCGAGTTCAGTTGGGGAGTTGCCGGGGGACTACAGTCCAAAATTATTCCCTTTTCTCGGCACCAGTCTTTTAAATCTGCACTCATATATTCTCCACCACGGTCACATCTTATTTTACTTACTTTTAGATTCAATTTTGTCTCAGCTTGTGTTACGTAGTCTCATAAGTTCTCAAAAAGTTCACTCTTGTATGTCAGCAGAGAGACCATCAGAAATCCTAAAAATCCATCAGTAAAAGTTGCAATATAGCGCTTATTGTCCCATGTATCAGGCTCAATAGGGCCACACAAGTCTGTATGTATTATTTCTAGTGTCCGTTTTGCTCTTTCTCTTTTTTTTCCGAATCGGGTTCGAGTTAGTTTTGCTCGCAAACAAACATCACAATTATCTTCTTTGTCACACATGCTCAGAATGTCCTTCTCAGTTAAATTAATGCCTTCGGCCATTTATACCAGTTTTAACATGTTGTTTTTACCCAAATGCCCCATTTTTGCGTGCCAATCTAATGCAGGGCTAGTGAGGAAAGCGTTACCTTTCATATCCTCGTCTTTAATCTCACTTGGTTCACAAACCTCTGCATATGCAATAAAGAGACCTGATTCATCCTGAGTACCTTTAAATACAAACTTACCATTTTTTGTAATTGTTACTTCATTTTTATCAAAGAATACCTGACCATCCTGGCTGGGTTATTACACTTATGGAAATTAGATTTCTAGACGCTTCAGGGATATAATACACATCACATAAAATAAATCGATCAAAATGAATCACCCCTATTCCTCTGGCGATCAAAAATTCGCCCTCTTTGGCAACACCAATTTTGTGATCGCACTTGACGAATTCTGTGAAATATTCCTTAGAACGACAGATATGTGATGTAGCACCGGAGTCAATGACCCATGTTTTGACGTCACCGTCGTACAAATTGTTTGCCATAAGCACAGGTTTACCATTCTTATTTCTCTTATTTTTCTCATCACTTTCATTCTTATCTCTAAAAAAAACATGGTGCCTCTAGATGATTAGTCTTCTTACAAATTCCACAAGGAGGATGAGACCCTTTATTTTTTTTATCAGTTTTATAACGCGCACTGTTATTTTTATTTCTGCAAAATTTGGCAACATGATTCGGTTTGTTACATAGATTACAGACAATTTTATCCCTACATTCTTCAAACGGTGCCCTACTCTATTACAATTGTAACATTTCTGCACTTGTGCTCTGAAAGCTAAGCCTTCAGGTTCCTTTTGGCTTTTGTGACGATTTTCCTCAGCCATGAGTCGTGATTTTAAAGTTACCAAAGTTTTACTCTCAGTAGCTGTGGCTTCCCAAGCTGCAGAAAAATAGCTGTAATGACTAGGTAGGGTTGTTATAATTTTAGTTATTAACATTTGCTTAGACACGTTTCCCTTAATAGCATTCAATCTTGTGTAGAGATTCTCCAGAGTACTCACATGGTTCATGATGGAAGTACCTTTCTGATATCTAGCGTTGAAAAATTCCTCCAGTAGTTGGCATCTTTTTTCGGTGTCATCTCATTCGTAAAGTTTTAAAAGTACATACCACATTCCTTTTGCGCTGTCACAGTTCATGAGATGAATCATCACACTTCTCTCCACCGTTTGGACGATCACTTTTTGTGCAAGAGCGTCTCCTTTCTGCCATTCCTTGAGTTGTTTTTGGTCCTTCTTTGCATCTTCCCCATCCGCTGCAGGTTTCACACTTTGTCCCGTCATTATCTCGTACGCATTTCCAGCTTTCAGAACAATTGTAACTTGGAATTTCCAAAACTGAAAATTGCTGGTATCTTTCAGTTTTTCAATGTCTCTTAAGTTCATTGCGCTTGATGTTATCCATTTTATTTTTACTTTAGTCTTTCAGATTTCACAAAGTTCAGAATGATTTTGATTTTTCTTATCTTTCAAAAGTTCAAAGAGTTCCTGATTTTATAAAATTCAAAGTTATTTTAATTTTTCTGAACTTCTAGTTTCACAAAGTTCAGAATTGACTACTGTCACTTCAGTTCTTCACAAATTTTTAATTTTTTTAATTTTAATTTTATTTTTCACACATTGGGTTTTTTAATTTTTAATTTTTATTTCATTCCTTCACAAGTTGGTTTTAAATTTTTTTAATTTTAGACACAAAGAACGGGGTTTTAGTTTGTATTATTCGGTGCACAACATGATGAAAGTAGTTTTCAGTTTCTGCCCTTTTCCGAGCATCGAGTCACATTTCTCCACAGGAACCACAAAACACATTAATCCACAGGACGACAAAACCGCGTCGCGTTCCGCGTAATCCTGGGCCCATAACCTAATGAGGATAGGTGTTTTGGGTATTATTTCGGAGTAGTCATTTTAGAGTACATAATACATATTTTATTAAAGGAATCCAGAAAACGTGGTGCGACGAGGAGATCTGAGAACGAACTAGCTAACAGGAAGGGGCACGCTATAAGCGCGCAAGTTCTTATCAAAAAGGAAATATGTGTCCCAGTCTTGGCAGTACGAGTCGCCACTGGAATAATGCGACGTTGTCAAGTTGTCAAGATTATGTATAGAATTCCAGGGTTCAACACTCTCAATCACTTCTAATACAGGCTCAACTTTCAACTCCGCTCTGATAGTGAATTTAATAACATCTAAAGTTACTTTGCCTGGACAGGAACTTTTTGGCACTTTACTCTACCCTAATCAGCCTTGCGGCTTAGGGTTTTTTTACTTATTTTTTAAAAATGTATCATCCTTAATTTTACTGAAACTGGCCAAAAAGTGTCCTGAAATATAAAACTTTTTCGTGAGTTTAATAATACTGAAAGTTCTAAGCATTTATCTAAAAAGAAAAATTGTTTTTAACCGTTATTCAATTCTCAGATTTGAGGGGTTTTTTGCCGCCATCTGTTACAACATCATTTTTAACCACTTAAACATTTTTATATAAATTTAAATGACATATTCTGAAACCTCTATGAGACGGTCGTCACCTTCTAGCCGATGAGGATGGAGATGTTGCATGTGTGAGGAATTTGCGATTTTTCCACTGATTCTTATGTACAAGTTCGCGAGAAGCACGATGGTGCCACTGGTTTCTTCTGAAATCAACTCCCAAGATCAAAAAAAGCTCTCAAGTTGAAGCTAAAATGGAGGGGATATCCCACGCTATCTTGAGAGTCTACCTCTACATCAAGACAAACTCTCCATGCAAAGGAAGGGAGCAAATACATTGACAGGGCTGCCACTTTATTTGGGGACTCTTAAACTGAAAACATGGCAACCCTGCTAATGTAAGTCGCTCCCTATCTGCTAGTTTGCATGAAGAGTTTGTCTTGAAGTAGACATGGACTCTCAGGATAGCAAGGGATATCCCCTCCATTTTGGCCTCAACTTGAGAGCTTTTTTTGAGCTTGGGAGTTGATTTCAGAGAAAACCAGTGGCACCATCGTGTTTCTCGCAAACTTTTACATAAGAATCAATAGTCAAAACGCAAATTCCTCACACATGCAACATCTCCATTGAAAATAACTCCCCCCTCAAAAATTAAGGGGGGTAGGCCAGTTACCCCACGACGTTGGGTAACTGGGTCACAAAAAAAGGAAATTTTTGAAAATTTGTGGGAAAAAATTGAAAGATAAAATTCTACTTTTGACTCATCCTACACTTAGACTGGGTGTTTTACTAAAACAAAAAAATAAAAAAGTATCCTCTACCTACTTTCAATATAATGATGGGAAAGAATCATGAAGTTGAAAGAGGCACTGGATGCGAAAAGGGCACTTCTCGGAAAAACGAGTTTTGAGAAAACAGCATTTGAAAGTTCAAGGTCATTTTTGAGGGCTTAAGTTTGATATAACAGTGTCACGTATTTTCTTATGACACTGCTATATTAAACTGAGGCCTTTAAAAAATGACTTCGAACTTTCAAAATGCTGTTTTCTTAAAACTCTTGTGCCGAGAAGTGCCCCATTTGCATCCAGTGCCTCAGTTTTAACATTTTTCTCCGAACTCTTGCCTAGTTACCCGGCCTCACCTTAACACAATATTTTTTGGATCCATGCTACAGAGATTCGCTCCTCACTGATTCATAAGGGACCGAACTTACACCAGAGAAAATTCATAAAGTTTCGTCAAAAAATCCGATTTTTCGATATTTATGGAAGGAATGAGAGAAATGACAAAAATGATGAGAATGAAAGAATTTATAAGATTGACAGGAATGGTAAAATTTAAAAATTAAATGAGTGCTAAGAAAAATAATAAGAAGATAGCTACTATAAGATATCTTATCTTATATCTAATAAGATTGATAAGATTAAAAAGAATAATAGAGTTGATAAGAATGATACCGATAAGGAGGGAAACATTAATAAGGATTGCCACATTGATAAGAATGGTATAGAATAGATAAAAGGATTGATAAGTGTGAAAAAATTGAAAACTATAAGATCGATAGGTTCGTGATAGTGATAAAGTGATAAGATTGATTAGGAAGAACGGTTTAACAGGAGTGATAACATTATTAAGAATGATAAAAAAAGACATCTATGTTGAATGGGAGGCCTTTTTGGGGGGCTGGCAATCCTGCGGTGCCCTACCAAGTGGCTGGGAAGCTTCTTGGCCGACATATTGCCAGAGGCGTCTGAGGAATGTAGGGCTTGAGTATACCTCACCTGTAAAACCAGCTGTGCATTCTGCTCATAATTGACATGGGGCTGCAAATCCCCAGTCAGTGATTTACTTGTTGCAGAGGACCATAAAAGAAAAATCTTGGTCACATATCACGAGTTGGAGAACATGTCGCACAAACTAGTCCCCACTCTGAGAAAGAAGGTGGTTGTAGATTATCTCGATGTCCGGCACGACGATCAACCAACGACACAAACCCTGCTCCTAGTGTTATGTCGCCAAGTCAGCCAGCAACCACTGAAGCAGGCTGACTCAGGTAGGGCATGAGTTAGAATTTAAACATGATTCAACGCGTCATACTGCTTCGCACACATAGTGTTACACATTAGAACTTTTGCTACTTCATAGTGCTGAGACAACAGCACAATGGTATCCTTGGTGGAAAACAACTCAATCGCCAAAACTTTTACCTTCCTTAAAAGGTTAAATGAGAGGCAAGACCACCAAGAATGCAATTAAATCCACGTTTTAAAACAAATGTTCTAAGAGACAGAATTGCCAAATTGTAACTCATTTTGGTCTAAAATAATCTAAATTTTTGTGCACTAAAAAAAAGGAAAAGAGCACACGACTTGGCATAATACAATTGATAAGTAAAGAAAACAGAGCTAGCTGAACAATTTAGATAAAACAGAATCAAACGTGTGCGTACAAATCAGTATGTAAAGCGTGCTAACAACCAAACTTGTCTATACTATAATACTTACCTAAAGTTTTCCCTGACGTTTCTTTCCTAGGAGTGTGAACCGGCTGGAGGGTTGACACATTATTCATTGTTTCCTTAGTAAAAACTCCAGGTCCCTAGGAAAAATTTAAGAAATGTTGACAAATTACAAAAAGTTTACATTCGGAAAGTGTACTTTCATTAAGTTTGATTTTACTTTAATTAATGATTAGTATTAAACGATGCAACTTCGAAAAAACCAATGCTTCAATACTTATTATATTTTATAAATAAATGTAAGGGACAAATAAAAATAATTGAAGCCTGAATGTTACTAGGATGTGAAATATTTGAACTTGCAAAAGAACTAGGTAAAAATTTCACAGTTTTTTCAAAGAGTCCTGGACCAAGACTGGCCCATTCTCACTAAAACGATAAATAGTTACACAGGGTATCTTAGTGTCAAATGGTCATGCAACAGGAGCATGTTCTAAGGGTCGAAATAAGACTTTCTCTTCCGTAAAGTTTTGCTTCTAAAAGTGCCCCCCAGTAGGAGCTACGGCCCCCAAAATTTTTGGAGGGACCATCGTTCCACCTAATTATATCCAACAGTCATTATCCATAAGGTAATGAAAAACAGGAGCCTCCCATAATTTAAAACGATGAATTCGTTCATGGACTCCAAGGTATAAGAATCTCAAGTCAAAGGGGGATTTCAAAGGGTTTCAGGGGGCTTGGAACAGGGTTGCCATGGAATTCAGAGAATGAAATTCCCTGATTTCCCTGAAACATTTAGGTGAAATTCCCTGACAATTGAAGATATGCCAGATGATTAAAAAGATATTAGGAATTAGAAATAGTTTTTAGTCAAAAGCTGTACGAAAAGTCATACCCATTCTTAAAAGTAAATAAAGGTGACATAACAATTTTTCCTGAGCAATTTCGTCATTTACCCTGACATTTCCAGGTTTTCCCTGATTTTTTTATATTCCCTGACATTTTCCGGTTTTTCGTGGCCGTGGCAACCCTGTAAGAACTTTAAGAGCCAAAGTTTTGGTTTTTAGACAAATAAAAATGATACTTGAAGAGCACCATTGGTTTGGGCGTAAATATTCTTAGAAAATGATTGGGGGCATTTTCTCTCTGAGGCTTGGTTTTCCTGCAAATCGCGTTTGACTGAACAAACACACGTGTAAAAAGGTCAAAGTGTGCACAGACCGCGGATCCAGACCTGCACAATTTCCGTCCGCGCTCTGGGTTGTTACGGCGAGTAGACAGCCTGTCTTTAAGAGCGTTTGTCCAGTTTTAAATTGTAACTTGGGCGGAATTTTAAAACAGTTTGTGTGTTTGCGGTATAAGCTTCCAGTAGAAAGACTGAGCGAAAGATACATAAATAGAACTGTGAAAAATTTGAACCTCTATCAAATTATTCAATCGGGTTATTCTGTCAGATAATTCGATCAGGAGAGGGGATGCGCACTGCTTACCTCTCCAACATCACTCCAAAAACCACGGTTTTTCGCATTTGTCAACAGATGTACGCGGGTTTTGATTTGGAAGTATTTGTTGAATAATAAAAGAGCTGTGACAATTTGAAACGCAGAAATAAAGTCATCCATCATTCAAGTTTGTTTTGATGATGAGGACTGAAGAGAAAGAATGGGTGGCAGCGCGGATTAGTTCAGGCAGTAGATGTCTAAATAGGGTGTGCCAAAGAAAAATTTGCAAGAAAACAAAGTTTTATTTTCCAAAAATCAATTGAGTACCCGAATGCCCCAAAAAAAAGTTCCCGAAATTTGAAGGTGGACACGCCAATTTAGGGGGATCGGTACTCAAAATGGCCCCCACGTGGTTTAGGCAAAATATCTCAAAAACGAAGCCGAACAGGGAAAAATTTGAAAACATCAATTCTATTTCCTGTGGGGATCATGAGCTCGCTCTGATAGGAACCCTCTCCTCTCACCCTCCAATAAGTGATTTTTTTCCGTAAAATGACTGCAAAATGGTTGACCCCTCCATAGAGGTTTTGGTAGCATTTCTATAAACAAAAGTATAAGTATGATTGATGAGAAGTTACCTGCAACAGATTGCTATCTAGGGCCACTTGCCCCATACTCCATTGCGAAGCAGTTATTTCATTTATATTTAAACCAGTCACTTGACAGTTCTCTGCTGTTAAAAGAGCAGAAATTTCTTCAACATTGTTGGATGATTCCTTGTTTTGAACAGAATTGGGTACAACCTCCTTAACTTTTTCATCATGAGATTTGAGAAAATTCTGAAATTTCAAATCTTTCTCTTCTTCAAAGATGGAAGAGCAGACACTACTCTGATTGTGTGTGCTCTGTGAAGCTGAATTTTGAGTTGATGTACATTCACTCCATTCTTTGTCACATGATGAACTGGTGCATTTTTCATTCTTAAAAATCTGATCTTCAGTTTGAGAAACATTCGGGACTTCTAAGTCTAAAATTCCATCCAAAAACTTACAAATGTTATCACTATTGCTGGTGGTTCCACACCTCCCATTGCTTTCATCACTACTAGTAGAGCTACTTGAAAGATTAGATGAAAATTTTCTTATTTTGCTACATTCATCACTGTTCTCAAGGCTTGTTAGTAGCTCATTACTGAAAATATTATCATCACTTCCAGAAATGAATGCATTTGTGTAAGATATAGTACTATTCTCAATGCCAGTGGAATAATCACCGTTCATTTTAACATCCCCCAACTTTAATTTCATGGTTTCTTCATTTTTAGGATGCTCAGACAGACTAGTATGAAGTACTCCGACCGATTCAGCGACTGCATTAGCACAGATATTGGTGTCTAAATTTGTTTTCCTTACATCACTAATTTCTGAAACATTACAAGCGGTGCCTTGATGTGTACTATCAGTATTCAGAGGTACGTTTTCAACGGTCATTTCACCCGTTTCTGCACTTACATTTTTCAATCTGTTCTGTGCAGATGCATTGACATCTCCAGATAATGAAAATAATCCATTCACTATATCATTTTTTAAACTTTTTTGATCCATTCCCACCTGACCGCCGTTTTGTGTTTTACAATTAGGTTCTGAAGGATAAAGAGAAAGAAAGTTATCAGCCGATACACCACTGAAAATTTTTTGCTTCTCACAGGTTTTGGGATAGTTTTGAGAAGTGTCATTGTTGGGCTTTTTCAAGACTTCGATATTTTGAGCTTCACAGTAATTTTCAACACAGTTTTGGCCATTGGTGTTTCGACCGGACTCACTGTCATGAGAGTTTACATCGCTTTCAATCCTCCTTTTTTTTGTTTTGAAACCATCACAGTCCAAAATTTCTTTTCGGAGGAAAAAGTTCTTAGTAATTTCAACATTGGACTCTGCGAGAGGATTGTTATAGTACTTTAATAGCTGATCTTTCACAATTCTCAAGATTTTTTCCTGAAAAATGGAAAAAGATAGTCATGAGAAAATAATGAAACCTGAATTTATAGTCCAAGAAACAAATAAAGTTATTTTCTTGATAAATAAATTGAATAATGAATTGGCTTTACAATCCTCACTGAAATTATTGAATGCCAGATTAGGTTCGACTTACCTCTTACATCCCCCCCCCCTCCCAGAAAAATAGTAGCTGGGTAGTTGGTGTTCTTCAGTCAATGAAAATTAGCTGGTGAAAGTTACCTTATTAGGATAGTGTAAGGCCTGTGGGCGATGAGAGGGGGGAGGATGCGTCACAAGGTGATATTTTGATAATGTAAAAATGGCAAAATTGCAAGATAGCATTGTGTTGGCTAAAAATGCAACAGAGATGATTTCACTAGCATCCAAAATAATGGGGGGGGGGAGGAGTTTGGGGAGGAAATGCCGTTAGGGGTGAAAGCTTTCAAAGACTGCGTGGAAAAAAGATACCTGGGAAAAGCGAAGAGAGTAGAGATTATTTTTCAATTACTCGCTGTGTTTAACATTCTGCTCCGGATTCATGCATTTTATCAAAACTTTAAAAGACGTTTCTGGAACGAAAATTTAATAAATACTTTCATTCTACAAGTGAGTCATACAGCCATCTGACGCATTAGAACGATTTATAAACGATTTTTGGTTAGGTTAGGTTTGGACAGAGTTGTTTCAAGATGGCGGATTTAGCGGAAAAAATCTAAGGTACCTACCAAAGTTGAAATTCAGATTCAGCCCTACAAAATGTCAAGTAAAAAGAATCCTGTCGGAAAGATTTTACAGAATTTGGACGGTAAATGTCTAGATCGACTGAATTAGATCTGAACAACAGCAAGAGTGCACTAAATTTTACTGAGCGAGGAAACTAAGAAAATTGCATATACCTGGTCACGTATTAAAATTTTTGTTTTATTAGGCTCTAGATTTACATCAAGATCTGAAGGATTTAATTTAAAGGAGATCAGACAATATGGGTACTTGTTAGGAGGAAGGTGTGTTCCAAAATATTCCTGAAATTCCTCTATGACAAGCTGCAACAAACGAATAGATGAAAATATATAAAAGCACTAATTTTTACACCTCTCCTTGCTTGCCTAGTTCCTGAAGTCTTATCTCATCTTCTTCAAAGAGAATCAAAACTTTGGCAAAAAGTTTTCAAGCAGCTACCTATGAGTTGATAGCTTTACAAGACTGATAAAAACATCAATTTTCTAGGCTCCTTCAAATTCTAACAGCCGCACTTTGTACCTGTCCCGTGAGAAGTCTCCTAGAAAAAACTCCCCCTATTTCCCAAATTTCTTCAGAGGTAAATGCATTACTTGAAAAATATCACAGATAAAGGAGTCAATTATTGGTTTGATATTTTGAAGGAAACGTAACTAAGAAAGTAACATTTGAAAACGTCCTCAAACTAAGACCAGTTAAATTTTGTTTGAGGTTAAATATCTTCAGAAATGCCTATTCAGGCAGAATTATTGTAAATCAAAAAACCTATATTTTTAAAATTTTATATGGGTTTGTGTTGGTAGCCGAGTGCTAGAAATAATGCAAAAAAATGTTTTCAAAAAAACACTTACATTTTATTAATAAAGTACCTAAGCTTTTCGAGGCGGACGCCTCATCGTCAGGGTAACAACAAAATTAATATCACAAAGGCCGTTGCCATACTTTAAATTTCAAACTGGGTAACAAGTGATAACGAGCTATTAGATCAGTCTTACTAATCAAAACAAAGTCAAGTAGTATCAAGTTAGTATCTGTTTTTCATCAGAGATGGCAGCACATTTTAGGTACAGGGGATTAGTTGCCAGGTCTACTTCTTTTTGTACATTTAATAATTCTTCCCCTCTTTTTACTGCCTTAGTTATTTCATATTTCTCTAGGACGCTAAGCATTTTACTGTCCCTGTTTTTGTGTAGAATTTTAATTTCTTTTATCTGATGTTTTTCTGTTTTGATGTGCTTAAATACGTTCGAGGATGGAAGAGTCAAGTGTTCATTAACTCTACAGTTGATTGAGCGCTCAGTTTTTCCAATATATATTTTCTTGCATGAATTACAATCTAAACGGTAAACACCAGTTATTTTCTTACTATTATCACTATTGCTTTGACCTTTTTTGATTTTGTTGGTGACCTTCCTTATATTGTCTAGTACGCTGTTATTAGTCTTAAAAGCTGTTTTGTACTCAGTTTTTTTGAAACAATTGCTAATTTTTGAGCTAACAGGGCCAAAATAATCTATTTTTACATATTTGTCATTATTTTTGGGTTTTTTAGCCTTTTTGCATTATTTCTAGCCCTCGGCTACCAACACAAACCCATATATATATATATAGTGCTACTACCTCCACACATTGCTTGACAATGTTCGCTGACTTTGATTAAAATTTTAAACGGGTTTGGTATAATGAATAGTAAGGGTATTTCTACTCTAGTAGAGTTTCTCTCCAAGAATAACAAACCTGCAACTTCCTGCAATGATTCTCAAAATTCATCACAATCAAATGAATCTGTTACAATTGACCATTCTGAAGATTTTTTGGGGGCTGATGTTCCATTTCGAACTCATAGGTGCATTAATGTACTTAGGGTGTCCCAAAACAACCGAGACGAAGTCTGTAATTTGGAAACTATATATCAAAATGTGGTTTGTAGGAGGTTGTAGTCCATACTGTTAGCTATCAAACCTCAAAACTTGAGCTTATTCCGTTGAAAACTCACCAAGTCATAGCAATTTTTCGGGGACGAGTTGAAGATAACCCTACAGGATTTTCGAGTAATTTTTCATTTCGCAAGCTGTTCTTTAGCCGCTCTGCAGATCGCAACGCTGTGGATCATGTGAAGGGATCATGTGGGCACTATTCTGGATGAAGGTTGTAACCTATTAAAATGTGTTTTCATCGCAATCGAGACACTTCACACACATGATAACAGGTTACAATATTCATTCAGAATAGTGCCCACATGATCCACAGTGTCGCGATCTGCAGAGCGGCTCAGGAAAATGCGGTTAGTAGGAGGTTGTAGTCAGGGCTATTAGCTATCAAACCTCAAAATTTGGGCTTATTTGGTTGAAAACTCACCGAGTTAAAGCAATTTTTAGGGGACGAGTTGAAGATAACCCTACGTGATTTTCAAGTAATTTTTCATTTCGCGAGCTGTTCCTGAGCCACTCTGCAGATTGCGACGCTGTGGATCATGTGGGCACTATTCTGGATGAAGATTGTAAACTGTTAACATGTGTGTGAAGTGTCTCGATTGCGATGAAAACACATGTTAATAGGTTACAACTTTCATCCAGAATAAAGCCCACATGATCCCTTCACATGATCCACAGCGTTGCGATCTGCAGAGCGGCTAAAGAACAGCTTGCGAAATGAAAAATTACTCGAAAATCCTGTAGGGTTATCTTCAACTCGTCCCCGAAAAATTGCTATGACGTGGTGAGTTTTCAACGGAATAAGCTCAAATTTTGAGGTTTGATAGCTAACAGTATGGACTACAACCTCCTACAAACCACATTTTGATATCTATCATAGTTTCCAAATTACAGACTTGGTCTCAGTTGTTTTGGGACACCCTATGTATCTCATAATATGTACACATGCTGATATAGTGCATAGCGTTAGCTACCTCGGCCAATTTGACACTAATCCCAAAGTAAAACATTGGAATAGCGCAAAGAGAATATTACGCTACCTCAAGGAAACAATTAATTTTAGTCTTGATTTAAGCCTGATCACACTGAAGTTGTCGGCTATGCTGACTCGGATTGGGGCAGTAATATATTGGACCAAAAATCCTTCATGGGTTATGTATTTAAGTACAGTGATGCCCCAATTTCTTGGGCTAGTAAGAAACAAAGGACTGTGGCCTTATCTACCACAGAGATCGAGTACATGGATATTTCTGATGCCGGCACAAAAGCTCTATTTTTGGTAAAGACCCACTTAGAAATTTCCCAAAAGAATAAAACAATCACCTTTTTCACTGATAGCGGTACAGCTCTAAAATTGTCTAAGGGGCATCGATTTCACGACCATAACAAACATATACATATAAGACATCATTTTATTTGAGACATCATTGACACAAAATAGATCAGTCTTTTTTATACTGCTGGTACAGAAAACCCTGCATACCTATTAACAAAACCTTTACCTCTTACCATAGTCGCTGTCTTCATAAATTACTCACAATTGTAAACTGAATTTTTCTTAGAGCTTTTTAATTTTTTTTTTTTTTTTTTGCCATTTGTGTCAGATTGAGGGAGGTGTTGTAAAGAGATAATCCTGCCACTGCTGGGAACACTGTCATGTCATCATTGTGTATGTGTGTGTGCACATATTTTCTATATAGCTCATGTCCTTGAAAAACCATATGTGCCTTGTCCGTCATGAAACTTTGCTTTAATACAAAAGTTCATCATTCCGATTTCATTGTCGTATATTCGATCCATTCGTCCTCATTAATAACAGCTATCTTGTCAGAGATACTTGATATAAAATATGATGATCATCGGTCATATTGATTATTATTGCTCAAATGAGCAGATAATCATGGTTATATACAAGTATCCGGGGAAAAGAAAGTTATGCACTGATGGATGAAAGTAAGGAAAATACAAACAAAACAATCACGGCGAGAAATAAAGATTATCATGAGACGCTGAGGATCGAACCGGGGACTCGGTGGTCAGAGAGATTGTGCCTTTGACCACTAGGCTATTGCAGCACAGAAGAAGACAGAGCGTCATTTTGCCAATTCAGTGAATGCTGCTTTGCACTGGATTTTTGAGAATTTATTTTTTGGAACTTCCAGAGCCCATTCACAGAAACGGCAAAATAAAAGTCACACAGTAATTTCATATGAAGACACTTCTGGCCATATGATGCGACCTTCCTTTCTCAGAGAAATTTTCATAAGTTGGCACACGTAATAATGGACTAATGAGTGGGGGGTGAGGTAGTTTCTAACATATGTGCTGTTTTGCTCATTGATCTGAATTCCGTAGAAATTGAGTTGAAAAGTTGGTTTCAAATACCTTTTCCAATTTTGAATCTTTGATGGGTCGTAAATTGATATAGAAGAAAAATGCCTTGTTTGGAGATGACAGGCCCATTATACTGAAATCCGAGTCAAACCGTGGCACAAGCATTTCAAGGGACAGCTGGAAGTACAAAAAAATGAAAATACAGTTTTGTATGCATTATGAGAAAAACTAGGGGGTTACGCCCCCTGGCCGCTACGCAGCCCAACCCCCTGAAGGCGCTGGGCGCCATCAATGGGCCGCTTCACGGCCCTATTTTTACCCTCCTATGAATGTTGATTTTACTTTTCCCCTAAAAAATTTTTATACAAGGTATACTTTACTTTTAAAATGAAATGATTTTTGATTTTGATAAATAAAGAAAAAAAAAATTGAAGTCAAAATAACGCGTTTTGCAACGACTGATTAATGAAACATTGCAGTAAAACAACGAATAATGATAATCAGGTCATAACTAAAAATATAGCTGAGGAGTCTGGAATTGAACCCACATCATGGAATATGCGGACGTTCCCGACGTCTTAGACAACTCGGCCACCGCTCATCATAAAATGTGGGGGCGAATCTTGCGCTGATAAGAGTAGAGCTGATGCGCAGGCTACACATCCACTGTGCAACCTCCTCGACCACTGCGCATCCTCCCGCGCATAGCAGTAGCAGTCCCGGAGCATTCTGTAAATTTGCTTACTTTTATAACGTGATTTTAAAAAAACCTGGGTCCTGAAGAGAGCGGGCTCATCTAGGGCCTATCACCTGGCGATTTACGCAAAAATCATGGAAATCGGCCCGGTAGAACGCTCAAACGAACTATGACAAAAAGTATAAATTTACATTCTTTAAATGGGAGAATTCGCAACTTTACCGTAATATAAAAAAACCTGGGACATATTTTGAAAAACTGAATAGAGCGGGCTAATCTAGAGACAATTGCCCGTCGATAGCCGCAAAAATCATGAAAATCGGCCCGGTAGAACACTAGAACTAAGCATTATCAGTTACGCAAAATTAGGAGGTCTCGGAGCTTATAGTACATATAGATGTCAAGGGAACAGAATTTGAAAAACACAAATACGAAGGAAGCACGATGATTACCATTGTAAATACTTTTGAGTAAGCAGGGGGGGAGACCCAAAAAAAAAAACTGAAATTTTGCTGTATAACTGTTTAATCTCTATCATGGATCCAGAAAAGGTGCTGAATACCCCCAACTTGATTGAGAGATACTTCGATATCACAAAAAATCGGTGCAAGGTATGAAAAGGTCCATTATACATCTAATAGTTGAAGCAGGGAAAAAAGTTGAGAATTGGGGTAATTGTTTTGGAGAAACTTCGTTGAGCGTGCAAAAAAAATGCATTCCCTGTCATTTTTGAGCATTTTCTGCCAGCTTCCTTTCTTTCTTTTTTAGTTTAAATCTTTGACCGATAGCTGTGTATTTTGAAATGTTGATGATTCGATTTTATACATCATAAGATTGAACTAGAGAAAAACATGGATGACAGAAGTTTCTGTAGTCTAAATGCTATGATAAATATGAAGATTCATTTTTTCTCACTAATTTTTCATCTTCTTTGGCCTCATTGCATTGGGTAGTTTTTACCCTTACATGTCCGATATCAATTGCAAAAAGTATATCACCCTAAAGTGTACATACCTACGTACAAAGCTTGAATTAGGGGGAAAAATTAAAACTGGTAATAGAGATATTTGAGTTTGAGCAATGAATGGCAAAAAAACTGAAAACTTAAAAAAATTTCAAATTACGCCCATTGATATCATGTTAAGCTCAAATTCGACAGAATATTCAGAATCCAGGTGAATAATTGACTTAAAAGACCTTCTTGAAAAATGACAGCTCTAAATTGAGTGTCATCATGAAGAGCTGAAGGAGGGAAGTCGAGAAAATGAATAGCTCTTAATGGGCTTTTCAGTTGTTGCTAAAATTCAGCTCATCTTTATGGTTTGACATCTCGCGAACGAAGATTGCCTAAGATTCCATGAGAATGCTGATCATCGGCAATATATCGTTGTTCTCAAAGCGAAATGAATCAAATAATGAATCAAGTTTGTTGTGGTTTCATCCATCTATTCCATCTCATGAAAAATTAAGGAAATAGTAATTAATATTTTAAATTTTTTTATATTTATCGTATCTACCAGAGTCATTGTTTTTATTATATTCATTTCGTCTCAAGAGGGTTAGAAAGAATTTTACAAAATTAACAATTTTCATGAAAACTGTGCGATGAATAATAAAAAAACCACGCATATCCTAGTTTTGTAGCACAAATGCAGACCGACGCGAGGTTGCAGGACGCATAAGTGGCGAGCCTGTACCCGAACGCGCGACCGAAATTGTCCTCACACGTTTTCTATTCGTCACAAAAAAAAAGATTATGGTATCGTTTTGAAGGTCCGATAATCCTCCATCCATCTCAAGAAAATAACGGGCTATAATTGCGCCCAGAAACCAAAAATCAACGGCTGTTAAAATGATCGAAATTCAATAATTCATGTATTGTTTCATACTATGGCATATTATTAACCTCTATTAGGTAAATGTAAAAATGCAAGTAAAAATGCAGTGTAAAAATGTAAGTTTATTTGAAATGGTCTTTATAGTAGCTTTTAAACGAGGCCAAAAATTTGAGAATCGAACGAGCGGTTGGAGCGATACAGCGCGTTTTACACGTGTGAAGCGCGTCTTTGGCCACCAGCGCGGGGTGGAAATCGCGTGCCGCGGCCGACCGCGCAGCACTTACATGGCTCCTGCGGGTCAACTACTCGCAGCACAAGAATGGTAATGATATCAAATTAAACGCAAAATTAAGGCCCACCTCTGTGACTGGAGAAAAAAACTCGATTTTCCTGCTCTGTTCAAAGTTATTTTGCTTTGAGATTTAAAGAAATTTCAAAAAAAAAAATTTTGAAACTTTTGAAAAATTGTTTGTTATTTTGGAAATTTTACAATTTACTCTGGACGCTTTTAGCTCTCATTTAAAAAAAAAGTAAATCAAAATCGGACAATTAGGGACCGAGATATCTCACTTCAGAAGAATGCTTGGCCGTCATCTTGGATCCTACACGAATTTGAAAGTGGTGCTACGGACAAAAACGACTTTTTTTCATCTAGAATGACTTTTCGAAGTGGCACTTTCCAATGAAGAAATCGTCGATTTTCATCGCATCCATCGTACTACATTGCTACCAGAACTGCTTAGGATATCACTTTTACTGGAAGACTTCACAGCTCGATTCAAGGATGAGGTCTCACGGGGGCTCTTTGTGACTATCGTAGGATTGCTGGCGAGGACCTGAATAAACAGTTTCCGCCCACGGCCGTTAATGCACCTTCCAAGTTCTGACCTTAATTAGGTCCAGAACCCGCCTTTCTCTGATTTGGCTCAATATCAGTACACTACTTTGGGTCCTTACATCATTCTAAGATACTAATTTGAAGGATTTTGATCCTCTGACGCTACGTTTGCGAGATATTGAACAAGTGGTGCTAGGGACAAAAACGAATATTTCTTCATCTAATATGACCTCCCGAAGTGGCATTTCCAATAAAAAAATCGTCGATTTTGATCGTACCCACCGTACTAATGACACTTAAAGTATCCCTCCAAGTACTCTGAGGAAGGGTGTATCTGCAGAGACTGTTCCTCGCTCCATTGGTACTACTATGAAGACAGCTACGGCCTTAAAAACCAAAACTGATACCCTCACTAATATTTAAAACCGAATAACTTTAGGTATGCTAAAAATGTCAATGACACAAAAAACGCTCAACGCCTATCAGATTCTATTACCAAAATGTAAGGAGCCTAAAAGATGGAAGAGTTTAATGGAAATATCCAATATTATACTCTTGAGTATGACGTCTTGGTCATTACTGAGACGTGGTTGAATGAATCTGTTAAAAATAGTGAGTTATCCTTACATCATTATACCATCTATCGTTGTGACCGAGATCGAGAGGCAACATGTGAGCTGGATGGAGAAATGATCAGGGTTGGATCTAGGTTTCAAGTAGGTAGGGGAGTGCAGGCCTGGATATCACACAAGGCATTTTATTAATATATTTCTACCACCACAAGGTAGGAATATATTAATACAATGAAAAGATACAACAATGAAAGATATTTAATGTTATTATTCCTGTTCCAATGTTCGAAGCCTTCCTCTCTCTGTCTCCCTCTCATCCCTCCTCCCCTCCCCCTTCTCTCGCGGCAAAAAAGGACAAAAATCCATTGCCACTTGGACGCGCGGGCTAGGGCCACAGATTTGAAGGCTCCTAGATCAATTCAAAAGTTTTAATCATACGATTTTCTTCGTTCTTAGTTTTTGACAAAAAATGTACTCACTTCTTCATTTTTGTAATCCAGGAAATCCAAATTTTTAACGACTGCAGAGGATGCAACTTGAAGAAATGCCAGCTTCAAATTGGCTACACTGGTTTTCTGCCAGATGAGACATTTGTTGTGGGCTAAAGTGACTCGGAGATTGGGGTGTATCACAGCAAAAGATTTAACAGCCTGTTCAACATTCCTCAGTTCTTCCTGTGCTTTTTTGTTCTTGCTCATTATCTGCTTCCTCACCGGCAAGGATTTAAATAGCCCCGTAGCACAAATGACTGTTCCTTAACATACAAGAGCTTTAACGTCAATGGAATTTTCAAAAAACCCAGATTCAATGCTTGTAGGAGGGGCCTTAAAAGGGGCTCATGGATACATGATCTTGACTTCCGAACGAGTAGTGACAATAAATTCTGCAAATTTTCGTGCAGGGGGGGGGGGACCTTGTCTAGGTTTTTGGATAGAGTTAAGTGAAACAGTCACCTATATTGCGAAGTTTCAAAATCTCATCTCTGATTTTAATTTTTTGGAAAGAAACCGACCTAGATTTTTGCTTAAAATATTGTGGAAGTAACTTCTATATAGATGAGAGAAAACGCAATAATTTTTGAGTATGGATGTGGGTTGGTTTCTATCCAAAAAATTAAAAAAGAGGATAAGATTTTGAAACACCGCAATGTAGATTTGAAAGGGGAGGGGGGGCAAAGAAAGCCATTTCTGCATCAAGCTCTTTACCAAGGTGGGTCTTAAAGGGGCAGGGAAGAAATAAAATAAATTAGTTTTGCATTATTGGCAATTCTTTTTCTGCATACTCTCACCAGCAAAATAAGACTAAGTTTTTGAAATTCTGATAAGTAGATCAGGAGGGAAGAGGGAAGAATTTTGAACACTCTCTCTCCCTTACTTTTATACTGATGGGCGAACATTCGGAATAGGGGACAATGAGGACATTCTTGTCCCTGGTCTTTTATCAGCATATAAATATGTTCTACTCCTATTTTTTTTGGGCTAAATATGAAGAAAACACTTTCTGGAAGAAAGAGACATTAAAAAAATGCCTAATATTCATGGTTTATTGTAATTTTATACCCTTTGAATGATGTCAAACTCACAACCGTCCTGCATCCCGACACTATGGTTCCTAGCTTGCATTGTTACGACTCACAGAGTAAAACGTTATCTGAGAACTTATACATCATTAAATATTTGAAAACGTTTCTCCAATGTAAAAAATAAATTAGAAGATAAAAAATCCGCAGTATAATTCGTCCATAAGGGGATAGGAGCGTTCGAAAAAGTTTACTCTTGACCGTCATAGCTAGACTCTGGAGATAAATGCTCATACCAAAAAGCGTTTAATTGGCGCAAACGTAATCCGGTCGGCGTCGGTGTTGCGTAAGGATGACCTGAAGTGGGAGGAAGTTTTAATAATTACCAGGCTGAAGTTCTTAGTGAGTCGCAACATCAGTTGTTAGCAAGTAATAATTCTGTTCACTTGGGAACATACGACCATTATTTATATTTTGAAATGTTTTTCATTGAAATCATGCATGATATTTATTAAAGGGTATAAACCAAGAGAGAAATCTGGTGCTCATTTGTTCGTTTTCAGAGATGGAGGCAGGCCCTGCATTTTTGTTTCGAAACTCATGACCGTTACAAATAGCTGGAATTTGAATTGGGAAAACTGTGTGTAAAAAAAAAAAAAAATTGAGACCATTTAAGTTTTTAGATCCCAGAGATTGTCCAGAAGTAAGTGAACACAACTTCCAGGGGAAATGAAAAATTTGATTTTTCGACTTTCTTCACCCTGAAAGATCCCCTGTATTAATTTTTCGCCTTAGTACTCATTAGAGCTAAAAAATTATTGATTCTAATTGAAATTTTTGAACTTTTAGTTTTGTTTTCGCCGGAAATGGTGTGGACCCAGCACCATATCACCACCTTGTTACATACAGCTAGGGCCATTTCTTGTTTTTCCTCATACATACGCACAGTTTGGGGTTCTGTGTTTCTTCCTGTTCTGGAGCAGGTGGTTGAGTCTAGATGCGTTCGTATCTCCAACCTGCCTGATAATGATTTTTTGGGGTTTTCCTTGTTCCGTTATAAGAGTTGTTCAGCGGCGATGGTATATAGCGCGAGGATTACACTTTTGTGTCATGCCTCGCGTCATATTCATAATGGCATTTTGCTGCCGTCTTGGATATTGCGGGATGCTAAGTTGCGTTCACTGACAAGTGTGATCTACTAATGAGGTCTAAAAAGACCCAAAACGTTATACGAGGGGTATCTCAAAAGTAAGGTCTCCATAAGTTTTTTAAGTAAATAAAAGCATATATGTTGAAAAAGTATTACGTGGTTCGAAAGCTAATATCCTAAGATATTTTTCTACATAAACACCATTTCGATCGATGAACTTTTGGGGTCGTGGCAGCAGTTTTCCCAGCTCTCGTCGTGTGCTTAACCGCCATCTCGCAGGAGAATCGCGCCGCACCTTTCTTTCGCGTTGTCAGCGTCGTCGAAGTGTTGTCCACCCTAGTGTTTTTTCAATGATAGGAATAAGTGGAAGTGACTGGGGGCTAAAGCTGGGCCATAGGGGAGATGATCCCAGATACTCAATTTTCAAAGGAGTTCGTGCAAGAAGACTGCACTCATCGCTGTTCTTGGTCCTTCGTCAGCATTCGTAGAACCTACTGAGCGCACATTTCATTGAAATGAAGTTTGTCTGCCAAAATTCGATGAATAGTGGCCGGCGAAACTCCAGGAACCAAAAAAGCAAGCTCCTCGATCATCACCCTTCGATCTTTAAGCATTGCTGCTTTAATCTTCGCAATTGTCTCGTTTGAAGTCGACGGCCGGCCACTCTTTTCTTCGTCGTGAATGTCGGTGCTATCTGCTGTGAATTCTCGACACTGTTTGCGCAAGTTTTTTGAGTCCATAGCCTCGTTTCTGTAAGCCTCTACTAACTGACGATGAATATCAATGGAGTTTAAGCCCTTTGCATTTAAAAACCGTACCACTCTACGCTGATGACGCAAATAAAGAGGTGGCGCGATTCTTCCCCAAGGTGGCGGTTGAGCACTGCGACGAGGGCTAGGAAAACTGCTGCCACGACTCCAAAGGAGTATCGATTGAAAAAGTAATTATGAATAAAAATAGCTTAGGATATAATCTTTCGAACCATATAATACTTTTTTAAAGTACATGCTTTATTTACTTGAAAAATTTATGGGGACTTCACTCTTGAGATACCCTCGGAGATCGGCATGACCTCAACTTAATGCTCCAATGCAAGCTGCCTTAGCTGAACACTCACCCCCTCAGTCTTGTAATAGTACTCATTAGACCTCAAAATTTTTGAATCTAATTGAAAGGAGGAGTAACGTTTTGGGCCTTTTCCGGCCCCACCTGGATTTTGCTAAATGTTTCATATTTTCAAAGTACTAGTCTTAGGTAGACTCTGTGCCAAATATTAGACCGAACGGAGCCCATGCAAGGGCGCAGCAGCGCCTCAAACCCAAAATCCTGGAATCGAAAAACAATTATTTTCGTCGACTTTTTCGACTGTTATCACTCTTCCAGCACATGACTCTTATGTATTTTTTTGCGTACTTTTCGTTTCTGGCCTTTTTAAAGGCCTCCGATAAATTGTCAGGGGCCTTATGGCCCATTGTTGCCATTTTTGGCCCATTTTTAGGGATTTTTTCCATTTAACACATTCAAAACTCAATTTAATCCAAAAACTGTGTACATTTTTGAAAAGTACGTAAAAAAATGATTAAAAAACGTTTAGTAAAATTTTTTCCTACGTTGCCAAATTTCCGAGAAAATTGGTCCCAAAGTGTCAAAAACGGCAAAAAATCGATAAATCGCCGCGTCTAAGGTTCAAGAAAGTGGAGTACATTTTTCATACTGTACCAGATAACAGCTCTTATCCATCCATACAACATACTAAAATATCATAGTTGTACCTGGATTCCCACGATGTGATAATTGACCGAGATGTCGATTTTAGCGGCCTTTTTATACTTGACGGCAGCTCTTTTGAATGTTATTCGACCTTAGTCACCCTCTATGGGTGTGTACTATGTGTATTTTTCTACGTACTTTTCATATCTGGCCATAAAAATGGCTTCTTGTGAATTTTAAAAGGCCTAACGGTCCATTGTTGCCAATTTTCACCAATTTTTAGGGGTTTTTTCAAGTTTACGTATGTGAAACTTAATTTAATCTAGAAACCGTGTACAATTTCGGAAAGAACGTAAAAAAATACATAAAATGTGATTTGTACCTTTTCCCTACGTTGCCAAATTATAGAGAAAAATCGTCCTGAAGCGCCAAAAACGCCAAAAATTGGATGAATCATCACGTCGAAGGTTCCAGGAAGTGAATTATGACATTCATGCAGATCGTCGGACACTTTCTCCACGCATTTTCTGTTGTTCGGTACATTTGGCCTGTAGCAAGCATCTTGAGAACCAAGGATTATCTCGAGGTTACAGGAATAAAGAGGTGAACTGTAGTGAAGGATAAAGTAAAAGCACCTTGAGGGCCCGTTTTGTCACGTTCATCTGCGCCATTACATGTTCCTTGAGATGCATTGCAATTTTCTATTTTCGATGCGTTATTTGTAGTGAAAGAAAACTTGAAATTCACTTCCTGGAACCTTCGACGTGATGATTCATCCAATTTTTGGCGTTTTTGGCGCTTCAGGACGATTTTTCTCTATAATTTGGCAACGTAGGGAAAAGGTACAAATCACATTTTATGTATTTTTTTACGTTCTTTCCGAAATTGTACACGGTTTCTAGATTAAATTAAGTTTCACATACGTAAACTTGAAAAAACCCCTAAAAATTGGTGAAAATTGGCAACAATGGACCGTTAGGCCTTTTAAAATTCACAAGAAGCCATTTTTATGGCCAGATATGAAAAGTACGTAGAAAAATACACATAGTACACACCATAGAGGGTGACTAAGGTCGAATAACATTCAAAAGAGCTGCCGTCAAGTATAAAAAGGCCGCTAAAATCGACATCTCGGTCAATTATCACATCGTGGGAATCCAGGTACAACTATGATATTTTAGTATGTTGTATGGATGGATAAGAGCTGTTATCTGGTACAGTATGAAAAATGTACTCCACTTTCTTGAACCTTAGACGCGGCGATTTATCGATTTTTTGCCGTTTTTGACACTTTGGGACCAATTTTCTCGGAAATTTGGCAACGTAGGAAAAAATTTTACTAAACGTTTTTTAATCATTTTTTTACGTACTTTTCAAAAATGTACACAGTTTTTGGATTAAATTGAGTTTTGAATGTGTTAAATGGAAAAAATCCCTAAAAATGGGCCAAAAATGGCAACAATGGGCCATAAGGCCCCTGACAATTTATCGGAGGCCTTTAAAAAGGCCAGAAACGAAAAGTACGCAAAAAAATACATAAGAGTCATGTGCTGGAAGAGTGATAACAGTCGAAAAAGTCGACGAAAATAATTGTTTTTCGATTCCAGGATTTTGGGTTTGAGGCGCTGCTGCGCCCTTGCATGGGCTCCGTTCGGTCTAATATTTGGCACAGAGTCTACCTAAGACTAGTACTTTGAAAATATGAAACATTTAGCAAAATCCAGGTGGGGCCGGAAAAGGCCCAAAACGTTACTCCTCCTTTTTGGAACTTTTCGGCTTTATTTTCCGCGCAAAATGGTATGGACGCAGCACCAGTTTACTACCTTGTTACATTCAGTTCAGGTCATTTCTTAGTGTTTTTTCTTATAAAAATGTATGTATGTACATTAAATAGGTAACCAGTACTCGGCTCTAGAGCCAATTTATTTACAAAAGGACGTAGAATCAAGACAATACAAGCATTTCTATGTTTAGGACAGAAGTTAAGTACAACTCACATTTATTGCAGACATTTTGTCTGATCAACACCAGACATCTTCAGAGCGAAAATAAAAAAGAAAGAACATTAGTAAGACTGTTTTATGGGGCAATTCAAATAAGAAATGCACCACTACCGTTAATTTCAGGAGTGACGCGGCTTGCATCGGCGGCGATCTGCAGTGGCGATCGTCAGTTTCTCTAATACGTTCCTTGCTGGCCTCTGTTGACTGTCGCCCTCTATATTTGATTGTGTACACTCGCTGCTAGACATCTGAAAGCTCACATACCTGTGTTATCAATGATTTGTTCACTTTGATTAGAAACTTTTGAGAATTTCGCATCCTCGTTATCCTTTGGTCTCTTTTACTTTCTTGTTTTTGCTTGTTTGTTTTACGTATGCCTGCTCCAAAATGTAGTTTTTTTTTTATCTATTTTTTGCACGTTTCAGTTCCTTCGTTTTAATTCTGCCTAGCACTGAAGATGTCTAATGTTGATCAGACAAAACGTCTAAAGTAAAATGCGAGTTATACCGAACATCTGTTCTGACCTTAGAAACGCTTGCTTTGTCTTGGTTCTAGGTTTTCTTGTGAATAAATTGGCTCAAAAGCTGCGATACTAATTACTCATTTGCAGCACATATTACTTAAAAGTCAGCAAAAAGGCAAATGAAACGTTTAAAAGACGTAAAAAGAGAAATCAATCTACTATGAATTTTGTCATACCTTTGCCTCTGTGTGCCATTCTTGATTCAGATACTTTCCCGTTGGAATCATAGGTATAAGCCATGGCAAGCTCATGATCTTTTGATCGTGTGACAATTGTAACTTGCGCCACAGCGCAGATGGCACTTAATGCTTCACCTCGAAAGCCATAACTTGCTAACCTTTCTGCAATTGGATAAAAAAAAATATAGAAATGCTATGCAGATGATGAGATTTACGTAAATTATTGAAAACATTGGAGCAACTAAAAAGCTGATGAAACAAATAGTCGTGTGGATTGTTTGAGACTGATGGTCACAAAAAAATTCGAGGCGATATCTCTGAAAAAAGTAGAAGAATAAGAATAAGAAAAAGTACAGACTTAAAAAGAGCTTCCATGAGAATTTATAGATGGGGTTGAATCAAAATATTAATGGATTTCATTTCTGTGATGATGAGCAGGAAATTTTTAAAAGAATGCTCACTTTGAGACATTTTTTATGTTGTGTTACTGATTTCTATGTAAGGAAACATTCAGACAACCTGGGATCTTCATTGTCCTTCATTTCTGCTCAATTAAAATGATCAAAATAACAGAAACGATTGAAGTTTATTTAACACCTCCTTTCTTAAAGTGTGAGTTCCGAGGAAAAAATACAACTGCAATCTCTCCTGGAGTTAACTCTACTCCAAAGACCATGTAATATAATTAAATGTATACATCCCAAAATGATGTAGGTGCCTGGTCCATGCATGTTGGAAGAGCTATGGGCGAACATATACCGCCAGTCTGAGAGGAGCTATTTTCATAAAATTTTCTGGGGGAGGTCCCCTAGATCCTCCCTTGATCTGAAAACTGTCCCCCAGACCCACAAATCGACATTGGAAAATGCCCCCCCTCCACCTTGCTCTGGATCTGCTACCGTGGTAGCCGAATCGATAAACTCGAAAAATTCGATCGATTTTTCCCATCCCATAGTTTTGATAATTTCTCATCAAGATTCTCTGAGACACCACTGCTGCTATCTTTGTAAGGTATTTCCTAAATGTTTATTTGTTTGATCAAATCGTCTAATGCATTCCATGGATATCAAGTGTAGAAGGTACTTAGACTCTCTTGAACACTGAGCCAAGAGAACTACATCCTGTAAAACGGATCAAAGTTAATGCTAAAGAAAGTCAAATTCAGCGAAAGTTTTCGTTGTTTCTCTGAAGAGAAAATGATTTTCGCTTGTAAGAGTGCATTGGTGTGTTTTTTTCAATACTTTCCTGGGAGAGTAAAACATTAGTCATGTATGACTAGGAGCAAGAGAATTTCCACTTGGATCCGTCCCTATTATGCCATGGCAGCTGAAAGGGTCTATTACATGCATAGATCTGCCGATCAATTACCCAAGCACCGGACGCCAGATACATTGGCAGCTGATTATTTTCAACTTGATTGCAAAAGACTAGTCAAAAGTGATCTAGTTGCACGCATCAGTAAACGAGGACAATGCTGCCCTTCATTAATACTTATTGGATGACAGAAATTCAGCAGCCTGTTCACTTCCACTTAAAATTGTTCATGTTTTAAAGTGATCAATAGCCAACCCTCGTACTCGGTGTTCCATACAGGTTTTCATGGCACTCCATTTATTGTTATATTGTTAAAAAAGGCAGCAAATGTAACAAGTTACAATAACAATAAAAAACTGTGCTACCAAGATCATGCAAGCTATTAATTTTGGAAGTGTGACTAGGCAAGCAGACGAGGGGAGCATTTTGGTGGGAGATACCACTGCCATTGTCTGTAACTTCAATTCGATCCAATCCATAATTATCCTAAAACAGAAAAAAAATTAGAGCTATAAGTAGAGCTACATAATGTTCACAAGAAAGAAACTCTTCCCTCATACTGAACAAATCAGGCTTGGTTTTGCAAACTAAAAAATTCACTAAAAGCCATCATTTTGAACTTGAGATTTTCGTACATCAAGGAAGAAGATAGATATCTCACAATCGCGGATATCGCGGATATCTCTGCACGCTGATGATTTTTACATCATCTCCAACAGCAGAATTTAAACAAACCAGCTGAAGTAAAAAGGTGCAAAAGCATTGAAAATGAAGGACCACTGTCAGTTGAAAGAATGTCTGGGAAAGACAGTTACTTATTACTGTGCGAAAGGAGTTATTCAAATTAACCGAGCGGACTATGTCAAACAAGTTCTAAAACGTTTTGGAATGGAGTCATGCAAACCGGTCGGAACATCCATGGTACTTAAGTTGAAACTTGAGCAGAATACCAACAGAGAAAACTTTCAAGAATATCAATAGATCAGTAGCAGCTTGATGTATGTATCTGTGTGTACAAGTCCTGATATAGGTTATACTGTAAGCTACCGCGGTCAATTCAACACATGTCACCACAAACAGCATCTCTCTGCGGCTAAGAGAATTCTGCATTACATTCAAGGAACCAAAGAATATTATCTAACCTACGACAAGAAAACCTCTGATTCTGGTGGCTTATGCTGATGCTGGAAAAAAAAACTGTGGCATCTCATGGCTACTCATATTTTGGTAGTATTTTAGAATCCGATGGGTCACCTGTAAGTTGGCTAAATTCCAAGAAACAAAAAACTATTGCCTTAAGTTCAACCGAAGTAGAATAAATCTCAGCCACTAAAGCAAGTAAAAACATTTTGTTAAATGAAAGTATTTTTGCATTTTTGAAGGCAAGCTTAGGTACTGTAATTATTTTTAGTAACAAGGGGGAGGGGGATTCAAATAAATGAAAACCCTGTTTTTCATAACCCTAGTTGGATAGCATTTTGCACTTTAGAACTATAGGTAGCACGATAGGTTTTCAGGAGAGTAACTTTTGCAAGAACCATTGGCGTCTTTCCGCAAAACGATCAATGTTGCGGTTTGATGGTTCATTTTATTGCTATGGAGTTCCTTTAACACCCTGTGTTGACGGATTCTTCGAAAACATCACACTGTTGCCAAAAATTACGAAAAAAGGCTATAGTTCCTTATTGCAAAATGAAGAATCCGGGGAAGTTCATTTTGCAATTAGGAACTATAGGTTGTTTCAGCACTCACTGTGTTATGTAGCAGTTGGTAGTATGTACGAGTAGTGATATTGTCGCTACTTGGGTGTCAAGCCTGCAGGGCAAGCATGTATCTTTATCAATATACTCTGTCGTTATGTCACGCAACTCGTGCACTTCTCTTTTCCATCATCCTTAGTTTTTCCGATATAACAAATGGCGACGAGCTTTTCTTCCGATTTTCAGAATTCGGAACTCTTTCTCTTTAACGTGTTTTTGCGTTAACGGTTGGGTTTTTCTCGCGCTATCGCTCGACCCCGTGAAGTCTGCATCGCATCATGTCGGATGGTGAAACAGATCCTCCTCAACCTCAAGGCCTCGAAGCTAAACTCGCCCAATTAACTAACTTGGTCCTGCAGCTTGCCGCTTCCCAATCTTCACGGACGGTCCAATCCGCCTCCCGGTTCTCTTTTGAAGCTTTCTTTACAACGTCTTAAGAACAGATAGAGGATTACTTCGACAGGTTCGAACTCAAATTGAACTTTGCCATGTGCCTAAAACTCAATGGGCAAACCAAGCTCGGGTGCACATGGGCCCCGAGTTAAATGCATCATTAAACGTTCTTTGTTTTCCTGTCCTTCCTAGTTCGCTCGACTTTGCATCACTCAAAAACAAGCTCATTTCTCACTATGCCAAATCGCGTAACACATTTAGTGAAGCCATCACCTTCCGGAAAATTCATCAGCACGCTGATGAGTCTATATCAGAGTTTGTGTCTCGCCTCAAGACCGGTGCGCGATATTGTGAGTTTGGCGACTTCCTAGATTACTCGCTTGGTATTCAGTTCATCCACGGCCTGTTTAGCGATGACATTCGCGATGAAATTGTAACGAAACAACCTGCCAACTTCGATGCTGCTGTCGCTGTGGCGACTAACCTCGAATCTTCCTTTCAAGCCTCTGCCATCCTCATGCCCACTTCTGCCCAACACTCAACCACTATCAGCAAGTTTTCACATGAAACTAGACCCAAACTCAAGAAAAACTCAGGAAACTATCGGAGCCGCAGTCATCCTCACAGTAAGAATTCTCATCGCAATCCTCCTCACAGTAAGAACACAAACTCTTGTTTAGCTTGTGGAGGTTCCCATAACCGCAGTACATGTAAATTTAAAAAACCAGCGCTCCGCTTCGCTTCGCGCGCGTCTTTTCAGGGTCGTCTGCACATCTAGTTTTTCTTCTTTTTAAGTGTCCCGCGCATCCACCGCGGGAAGGAAGTGTATTTCCCGAAGTGGGATTTTTGAGGGCCGCTTGGGCCGCTGTGCCACGAACAGATCTTCCAAAAACTTTCTTCACCTGACCCACTGTGCGACGCGCAGTTTGTCCAAAATCTTCCTTCCCCTGAACCACTGAGCGACGAAAAGCTTGTTCAAAAACTTCTTCCCTCTGACCCACTGTGCGACGATCAGCTTGTCCGAAAACTTTCTCCCCCGACCCACTGTGCGGCCCTGCTCCGGCCGGCTCCCCTCATGCCGCGCACCCCTCGCCTAAAACTTTCAAAGCTCGCCATTTTTAAATGGCTCGGCCGATTTAGCTCAAATTCAATACCAAACCAGTCCTAGGGGAGAACTACCACCCGTAAAAATTTCAGCTCAAAATATTCAATTTCGCTCGAGTTATCGAGTGGACAAGATTTGACCTCCCCCCACTTTCGAGCCCCACCCCTCAAAATCTATTGCCTCAAATTTCAATTTTTTTCCGCAGAATAGTAGTTCTAATGAGTCTCTACTAAATGCAAAAAAATTGGTCAAAACATCTTTCAACGTAAGAAAGATATAACTACTCAAAAATCGAAAAATCTTAAAAAGGCGGAAATATATATATATATATATATATATATATATATATATATATATATATATATATATATAATATGGCATATATTTTCGTGATCTACGACTCGTGATCGGTGCTCTTCACAAGGTCTCGGGTCTGGGTCCGACATCATGGGAGAATGCACACTAAAAAAAAAACCTGGCGTGAAAATAATTGCTAACAGTCATGGTAGACGTGAGCCTCCACTTTAGAGATATAAGTATGTAGTATTAATTTAACTTCTAGTGTATGTCCAGGCTCTACTTTGCAAAATCTCTTGAATTATACTAGTTATGATGGTAACAAAAATTTAGTATTAATGACTGAATCAAAAGATGTATACCAGAACAATGCCAAAAACTTTAACAACGATCTTTACAAAATGCTTTTTAATACTGATGAAGACCAAAATATTTTATTGGCAACAATTCCGCCACGCCATGATCCAAGCAATGACTCCCATACTAATAGGGAAATCAGGAAAACAAATAGCAAATTATGTAACGTAGTTGGCATGTTTGACAATGTTTACATGTTAGATGTCCATGATTTTGATCGCAAGCTATTAACCACGGTCAACACCTTAATAAGAATGGTAAAATCTAACTTGCCAAAATGGATAAAACTATTTTGGGTCATTTCAACTGTTAAATCGGGACGCGGCAAGCACGAGAGGGCCGATAAGCAGCTGTCAACAACGGTACGATCTGTTTTTAGAAAATGTCACTTGAGCTAGAGACCTTAGAATTTTTCATCAGAGTATGGGGTACCTACTTACTTAAGAAAAAAAATCTTTGTTATGAAAGATTTCCTCTTTTCAGAAGATATCGACATAATGTGTGTAACTGAAGTATGTTTAAAAGAAGAAGAATTGACTAGTATCAAAATTGAAAACTACAGATTAGTTTCATATTTCTGTCGGATAGATCATAAAGCAGGTGGCTGCGCCATATGAATCAAGAGTTCCTTGATGAATTATGTTACTAAATGCAGCATTGGGAAAAATCAGTCGATTGAAATGCAACAAGAAATTGCTGCCTGCTATTACACTCTGATCAATGCAAATTAGGTATCTTATACATTGTATTTATAGATCTCCTAGCAGGGACGTAGATACATTTTTAGAATCCATGGAAGACCTCCTCGATGAGGTTCCAAATAATCAAAAAGTTGTGCTCATAGGCGACTTTAACATCAACTTAGATCTTGAAAATAATCAAACAAGTAATTTCTTCGAAATTTTGCACCAAGAGAACTTAAGGCAAACCATATTTGATCCTACGCAAGTTTTAGATCACTCAGCGACCATTATTGACAATGTCTTCACTAATATTAATGTAGGTGGATTCATATCTTACAACTGCAATTAGGCTACATCTGACCAAATGTTCACACTAAAAAGTATCCCGATTGTTGCCCCCTTCACTCATAAGGAAATAAAATATAGAAAATTTGATGTGTTTAATATGAGCCTGTTTAGAGTATTTCTGATATTTCACATGATATGGGAAATACAGGTAACAATTTTGCCGACTATTACAACCAATTGTGTGCTGCTTACAACATTCATTTTCCCATTATAAGCAAGGAATTAAAACTGATGGAAAATACAGAAAGCAAGAAGATATTGCAAAAACCGCCATTTTCAAATGGACCACTAGACAAGGTACGAATTAAAGGATTCTGATGCATGTTTCTTAACCAAAATTTCACGCAAAACACGATTCGCGCAACGAAAATGACTGAAACCAACTCCTAAGGAAGATATTAACGTTTTTATTTCACATTGGTCACGAAGAATTTGAACTGCCCGCTCACAAGAAACTCAAAGTTCTACGTGAGTCAAATCGCGCACTACAACGGTTTCAGCAATCTTCTCAATCGAGCGATGTTCATTTCCACCATGTGTTGTTCAAACTTTAAGCAATTTGCTATAGCTGAGCCAAAGCGTCAAGATTGAGGTTGCCAGATTTTTATATCGCAGAGACTGCCATAATAAACGTTTAGCGCGCGATGTGAATCACGTAGAGCATTGAGTTTTTCATGAGCGGGTGGTTTGAATTCACGCATCAAAATTATTGAATATCTTCGTAAGGAGTTGATTTCGGTAATTTTCGTTGTGCGCATCGTGTTCTACGTGAAATTTTGGTTAAGAAGCATGTATCAGAATGCTGAAATTCGTACCTTGTCTAGTGGTCCATTAGAATTATGACTTCATCCGATGTGCCGATTCGCAGCATTTAAATGTGACTGGCTTGTTTGAGTTTTGCCGCCCTATGAAAGCGTTCAACAGACTAATAAAATGAAAGAATATTAGTTGATGTTTTTTTTTTTCATTCTGTTGAACTGTCAAGTATATCGGGTGACGCAATCATTATATGTTCCGGCTTGTTATCGGGGAAAAATAGTGTTGCCGATAAGGCATACAAAATATAGATGAAAAGATATTTTCTGTTGAGTCGAAGGAAAAATTGAGGGTAAAAGAGTCAATTTATACTTACTTTTGTCACATCAAAAAGATCCCTAGGTATCAGATCAGTCTGTCGCCGTATATCTCGAGGGGGGGGGAGGGGGAGGGGGCGACGGCAAAATTTTTTGGGTACCAGGAGGCAAAAACCTGAATTCGGCTCTAATGATGAAGGGAGAGGAGGACGGTGGCCTATTCGCACATTTGTACCCACTTGTACCATGTGCCACGACATGAAAAGTATCAAACAAGCACTTCCAACCTCAACCTTTCTACTTGACATGGATATGCAACAATGCTTACCAGTTTTACATCAATACAGTTTGCTCCTGCATCAATTGCGTTTTCCATCAGTTCCTTAACGACAGATGATATTGAGCTAACTATTTGCGCACTGCTTATTTGGCGAATTACATTTGCTTGCAATGGGACAACAGCCATATCAGAAGCTACAGTAAATCAATTGAATTCTTCATGAGTTAATTGCATTAATTCTTTAAAATTTAGTCATTGACCGGTCATAAATCAATCAAATACTCATAATTAAATAAGAGAAGTCGAGAACTTTCGATTGTAAGATAAATTTTCATTTTACCATTTACTACCACGGCCACAGCACGGTCCAAAGAGCGCGGTTCTCTATTCCATGTGCGATGGGCGCGAAACAATAGTCACAAACGAGGTTCTCTGTTTGTTTACATTATTAGCATAGAATACATAATAGACAGGTAGAGCCGTAACATGGACCAAGAGAATAAATAAGGACTCCCAACTCCCTATGCTAACCTGTGTTAAAAACCGTTAACGCGCGCTCGCAGCGAACCTGGCAGAGGGTGCGGTGAACTAACGCCACAGCGGTCCACGATCGTACCTCTATAGTATGTTATTCCATGCAATGTTCTTTGTTTATCTATGATTTATTTATTTGTGTAGATACTTTAATACATTTTACTTTCGCAAACTAATGAAATTGTATAGATACATACCTTCTGCAGAGGTCAATGCGAAAGACTTTGATTTGAAGTATCTTATCAAAACACGAGCAAAGGTGATTCAGTCAACTTCTGAAGCAGAATCAAAGAGACTTGCTAATAATCAAATTAAAGGTAATGCTTGAAGTCAAGTATCTTTGATTTTGTGACACTCAGTTGATTTTTATCAGTACAACACTATTTCTCACTAAAAAGATTTCACTTAACAGAGAAGCGCCTTCGGCTAAAAGTACAATCCTGATTCCTGCTGCACACTGCACACTAGGTACATACACACTTCCTTTGGCTTTCTCAACAGCAGTTGCTGCTGAGTAAAACGGTTAGAAATAACACTTCATATTAATACCAGTTTATGTACACTAAGACTGACGAAGATTGAAATGAAAATGGGAAACTTTTCACACTAAACTCTTCAAAACTGCAGGGCGACCACGAGGATACGAGGATGACGAGGATCTAGAAACTTCTGTGAGCACTACTGAGTGATAAGCCTAAATAGGTGGTGCATGGAAATATAAACAGGAAGACCCAATCATCGGTTTAGTTCACTACACCCTCTGCCAGGGAGCGCTAATGTCAGCGCTAACCGGAGTTGGGGGTCCTTATTTATTCTCTTGGTCCATGGCCGTAATGTATTATGGGAGAGCTGGCGCCTTCTGCTCGACGAGTTCCGAGCCCGGTGCATGGACCAATTCTATTGGTCCATGCCCGGTGTGCGTCGAGCTCAGAGTTACTAAAAGAAATTTCATCGAATGAAATTTCTTTTTTCCCAATGAAATTTCTTTCGACCGACAAAATGTCAAAAATGCTTATTTTTTCCAACAGATTTTGTTTTTATTTTCAAAGAGAATAATATTCGTCAATTAGACCAGTTGGAGCACGGTCTTCTCTCAGCTCTTCTCTTCTGGTCTTCTCTTACTCTTTCTCTTCTGGCAGTTCTGGCTCATCATGGGGAGGGGGACCGGGGACCCTAACCTCAAATTTCAAACTGTTACTTTCTGAAAAAATCAGAGACAAATGAAAAAATCATTTAAATTGTTTCAAAGATAGTTCAAGATCCCTCCCTTTTGTACCAAAAAAGAACGATATACTATTAGGGGGTACTAGGATTCTTTATAGTCAAGAAATTTGTTTTGCTCCAAATATGAAAGCTAACGTCTTACTTTATCCGTAAAATTTATTTTGGTGTTCAACCGGTACGGCTGTGTGTTCAACCAAAATTTAAGATAAAAAATTCAAAATTATGTTTTTGCTGTTTTACTCAACTTTCTGGGCATTTCTAAAGTTCCCTTTCACAGTTTACCACGTGCCTATAAATGAACTTAAGGAGATTCATAAGTTTCAAGGGTTTGATCCTGAATTCTGCGTGTTAAATGAAATTTCACGAAATTTCATGAAATTTCACGAAATTTCATGAAATTTCATGAAATTTCATTATGAAATTTCTTTTTATAATCTTTCATGAAATTTCTTAACTCTGGTCGAGCTATCATTCGATACTATCAGAAATGTATTCACATTGGGCCATTGGGCCTTGTCTCCACGGGGCGTTTTCATGGGATTTTTCCCAAGTTCGAATCGCAGGAATGAAACTTCTGGGATTTTTCCCAGTTACCGTTAGAGTACCTGTATAGGGAGAGTAGCGACAGATCTGAAACTCCGAAAGTCCATCAGGCCTTCACCGATGCCTCCGCGAATAAAGTTAGGGCCCAATAGGACAGCCAACCTATGAATTTCGAATGTCCAGAGCGATTTACAAATACAATTGTTACGAACCGTCGTTTAGAAAGCATGTATTTGGTTTACTTTTTGCATAAATTTACTTATTTTTGCGAAAGAACGCTCATTTATGTACATTCTTAGCCATCTTGGTTAGAATTGAAATCTGTAGGCTGGCAGTGAAATTTTGTGTGTTAGAAGTTGCTCAGAAGGGTGGCTGCACTTTTGGGCCCTAAGCCCTCCATGAACCGATCTGTCGCTACTCTCCCTATACAGGTACTCTAGTTACCGTCTCCGCGGGACAAGGCTCATACGGTCGAGTCCCTTTATACCCAGAGTAACGACAACTCGATTATCAGCTGACTGGCAGCCGACCTTGGCTGGCCATGGAGGCCGAAACTAGTGCACTCAAACGAACGATATTGAGGGATAAGGATCAGGAATGAGTCGAGTGTTCAGCAGAGATTCACTCCTGAATTCCGAAGGCAGAGGCAGGACCTACAAAAAATCCTGCCGAATTTCCATCGCAAACTGTCTGGTGCGCAGTCGGGAGCATCGATGTTCCCTTTCTGCAGACTCTAGGCACTCCGCACCCGGAGAAGGATTTTCTGTCAGTCCTCGCCTCAGGCAGAGATTCAGCCCCTGAGCTCTGAAGGAAGGGCTGACAAAAACTCCTGCGGACCAAGACGAAATCTTTTAAAGTGAAACGTCCCTTTATGTAAAAGAAAAATCTGCACAATTGCTCTTCTTTTATTTATAGGGTACGGAATTCGAAGTAAAACGACCGTAGGCGTAAGGAATACAAAAAATACTAATAGGAAATTTACAAATTACTCTTTGGGGCCGTCCATAAATTACGAAAGGCAATTTTTCCGATTTTTATGACCCCCCCCCCCTCTTCTATCGTTTAAATGCATAATTTAATAAAAAAAATGGTGTTGAAACAAATCGGTATTGTTTTAAACATTACTAATCGCTGGTAGGAGATCATGAAAAATAACAGTTGTACTTATTGAAAAAATAACAGTTTTTAAATTCAAAAAGTTCAGAAAAATTACATTTTAACCAAAAAACATTAAACGTCTAAAAAACGAAATTTGGACTAGTAAGTCTTTAAATTAACGGAATTTGGAAGAAACAAAATTTTTGCGTTTGGCTTACGTATAGGCATAGGTAAGGCACCTCTGGACCTCCTCCCGGCTCCCTGTAAGTGCATTAGGTACGTAATTTGCGGACGGCCCCTTTGTAAAGGCATACTTACATTTATTTGTTTATACTTACTGCCCACTAATGTTACATTTATTTCTGTCTTCGGAGTCTGCTTTTTCCTCTAAAAAAATTATTGGACGGTCTACGTAAGATTAGGGCCCTACACCCTACGTCCAGAGGTTTCTCTGCAAGAGGAGCCCTTTTCAATTACGTGCGCAAAAATGCACGCCTCACTCTTATTTTATGGAAAAAAGTATTTCTTTACGGCCACTCGCGGCATTTATGACATAATGTGTAATATAATGACGTCAAAATATTACCAATCAGGGGCGCGAACCGCGGACCTCCCACCCCGGAGGCGAGCGCTTTGCCACAGGTCTACAGCGACAGTAAAAAAATTGCGACATAATTGCTAATACATAAGTGCAATTGAAGTTCTCTCTTTCTCCACCAGAGCTGAGAGCATACACGCATCGGTGTCACGCTCCCGCTTACTGATGATCTGCGGCTATGGAACGCCGTTTGTGTCAAAACCCTTTTCTTGCGCGCGCGGAATTTTTTCTGGCGCGCGGAATTTTTTTTCGGCGCGCGGAAAGAAAAAACCCGTTTTCGATGAAAATATCTGAATTTCCGGATTCCGCGCCGGTTTTCGATGCAGGATTTTCTGTAAGTCTAGCCTTCCGGGCCAAGAGTGAATCTCTGCTAAACTCAAACGCCATCAGGAATCCTGCGATGTCTGTCATACAAAAACAACAACATCAACAAATTGATCAATTAAAACGAAAATTAGATTGGTTTGTGAATAATTTCTTAATCTATTTTCATTTTAGACCGATGGAAATAACAATTTACTCTTGATAAACCACAATTAGGTAATATTTTCATTATTCTTGTTCACATTCGAGGTACCGCCATCTTGGTGCACTAGTTTCTGCCTCCATGAGCGAGAACCAATCAGAATTGGATTTTTTTTTAGGCCACTTTCAGCCCAATCCTGGCCCAACTAGAGTACCTGTATAGGGAGAGTAGCGACAGATCGGTTCATGGAGGGCTTAGGGCCCAAAAGTGCAGCCACCCTTCTGAGCAACTTCTAACACACAAAATTTCACTGCCAGCCTACAGATTTCAATTCTAACCAAGATGGCTAAGAATGTATATAAATGAGCGTTCTTTCGCAAAAATAAGTAAATTTATGCAAAAAGTAAACCAAATACATGCTTTCTAAACGACGGTTCGTAACAATTGTATTTGTAAATCGCTCTGGACATTCGAAATTCATAGGTTGGCTGCCCTTTTGGACCCTAACTTTATTCGCGGAGGCATCGGTGAAGGCCTGATGGACTTTCGGAGTTTCAGATCTGTCGCTACTCTCCCTATACAGGTACTCTAGGCCCAACCAAAAGTGAGTTGTCGTAACTCTGGGTATAAAGGGACTCTAATACGGTCCTGCGACTAGTTAGCGCGGGAAGATAACTTAGTTAAAGTCGAATATTTAACCGGGATTAAAATAATAATTGCACTCAATTGACAATTGGACGGAGTTAAACAGAAAGGAACCAAGCCACATAGGGATCGAACCGAGAAAAAGAGGTTTAAAGTTTGGCTCCTGCATAAGACTCAATGTAAAAGATAAACTTCAAGTTGAATTTCTGCAAAATTGGCTCCAACAAAAACTTTGAATTTTTGGCGATAGATAGTAGAGCAGTGGTTGAGTTCAAAACCACTCATAACTCAATTTTTTCCAAAATGTGGGTTGGTTCCTTTCTGCTTAACTCAGTCCAATTAGACACATCATTTTAATTAAACAAACATGAACAATGGAGTAATCAACAAAATATCGCATTGCCAGAGTATCGCGCATGTATCGCGTGGATTCGCGTCGCGTCACACAGGAGTCCCGAAATTCGGAACCTGGAAAATGCTTATCGGTGCCGCCAGCTTTCCCTAGAGTACCTATATTGAGAGAGTATGGCCACTGGAGTTACCACCTCTGATTGGCTCAGCCATCTTAGGCTGAATGGAGCCCTTAGGACCCAAAAATGGCGGACGCCATAAAGTTAATGTAATGCAGAATGATTCAAAATGTAGTTGTCTTTGCTTATCGTAACGAGAACTTTACCCAAATGCACTATTGCGACTTTTTTTACATATTTTTAAGGCTAATCGTGTGCAATTTTTGAGAAAAATGATCTTGGATGTAGTAAGGTTGGCAGCAAGTGCGGTTGGTGATAACCGTCAAAAGTTGGCAATGACCCCCCTCCTATCCTCAAAAACCAAAACAAAGCACCGCCATTTTTGGGTCCTAAGCCTCTCCATGGGACCCAGTGGCCATACTCTCTTAATATAGGTACTCTAGCTTTCCCACCCCACCTACAGTACTAGCTACGTTTATGCGAGGCTCGAAACCGAGGTTTCACGAAACCCGAGTTTGGAATGCAAGTTTTCGCCGTCGGGTTTATGCGGGCGCTGTAACCCGACTTTCGCGGGAAATCAAACTTTCCGATTCTGGCGCTGTTCATGGGCATATTTTCGATTGAACTTGAATTTCATGCGTTGGCGCCATTTTCACAAGCTATACTTGTAGTCATAAAATGTTGATTAAAAAGTGAGGTTAAGCCGAAGATTGAATAATAACACATAAGGCGGCTGAATTCTTGTAAAATAAGTATATTTTTGGCGTTTTTCGACCCCTTTCGTCAAGTATGTTCTCATCACAAGAATATGGTGGACGAAAAATTCGATTTTTTACGTGATACGTGATCCTAGAGTCCCTTTCTACGTGATCCTACGAATCCTACGGATTCTCCAACAACTGATAACAGCGGTGAGTTGCGAGGGTCCTATGCGAGATAGCAGCACTAGTACCTGCTCACGAATTTTTACGTTGACTCTTACGGGAGTCCAGGGTCCTAAGGTGAAAAGAACAAAAACAGAACGAAAACATTTGGTTGCGCGTAGCTAGATTCTAGATTTGTAATTCTAATATTCTATTCTATGTCCTTAATTCCCTACCTATAGACTCTATTAGTGCCACGTCACAGTCGGTATCGATTGTATCGAACTGGATCCAAACAATCAAACATAACCTTACTATTCAATATGAAACTAAAGAATTTCAGAGATAATTCGCCCAGTTTGAGAAAAAAGTTGTGTTAGAGACAGCTCTTTTAATCGCGGAACGTTCCCGCATTGTTAAGTTGACGGGATAAAGCAGTTTCAGAAAGGTGAAAATACCCACGAGGGCCACCATGATTTAGGCCACTCCTATGCCACTCCAGTTTCTTGGCTTTTGACAGTGAAATTCTGGGAGGGAGGTGTCAAGATGAGGTTATGTTTGATTGTTTGGATCCAGTTCGATACAATCGATACCGACTGTGACGTGGCACTAATAGCATAGAATAATAAGGCTACGCCTACAGAAAGGACACTCTCGCAGATTTCGTGACGAAGAAGAAGAACAGGGACCTGGAGCTCTTGAGCTGGAGCTGGCGGGTATTGTTTACATTCAGAAATGAAAATGGCGGCAATAGCCAACTGTAACACTCTAACTGTAGCTGATCACATGTGATTTTATCAGTCATCTGGCCAGCATGAGCACGACGAGGCTGTGGAAATCGTTATCGTTACATTAATCTTGATACTCAAACTCTTTTACTCTGTGGCAGTGACTTTTACACTTACATAACATTAGACTCTTCTTTGGCAACACTGATTACATTTGGCAACCCTGCAATTAGCTGGGCCCTACTATTACATTCGACAACCTTGCAAAGAGCTGGCGGGTTCAGAAAAGTATAGGGCAACGGGACCTAACCAAACCTGGACACAACAGGCGAGAGTCACAACGGCCGCTTACGCGAGTGTTCCTTCTATAGGCGTTAGCTTTATTATTCTATGCTAATAGCGTCTATCTTCCACCGTCTCCTGTATCCTGTACGTAGTTCATTGTTGTTCAAAACCAGTCGAATGACTCTTTGGGCAAGCAAAAAAGAGAAATTCATATTGTACAACAATCTTGCGTGCCTGTTAAAAGCTGTTGAGAGCAAGTACACCACTGTAGATCTCCGGAATGAGGCATACGTTTGCGGTAAAATTCAGGAAGTTGATGGGTAAGACAGCACTCAATTGTAGCCTGATGGCATAGAATGTTATCTAAAGAAATAAATCATCAAATAAACAGAAATTATCATGTTGTGGTAATTCTTTCCTCTAAGGCCTCTCTCTACTTAAGGCCCAAAAGTAGACCTCTTGAGAACTTGGTCCATGTTTTCTTGGGCACTTTTTATGAAAAAAGTTGTTTTTACTCACAAGAATGATAATTTTCATCGCACTAAGTCGGAAGTGCAGGTTAATTTAACAGTAATTTGAGGCGAAGATTGAAATCATTATTTGAACCGTCTTGTGTAAGATTGAAAACACATCTGCATAATTGTAGAGGCATTAAGCCCTTTCAGACTCAATGAAAACAAAATTTTGCTGCAAAATATTAACTTTGACTTGGAATAAAAATTACCATCTACCTATATGTGTCATCTGTCATAAAACTAACTTAAAAAACTTGCTGTACAACCAGACATTGATCAATTCACTTCAGACTTAGGAGGACTGGCAGTCAAGTTGTTTTTAATTATCTGTCTCAATGCAAAGCTCTTTTTATTCAGTCGGTGACAACATCTTGATCCACTGTTAGATTGTTTGGTTCACTCAATGGTGGTTACAGTTACAGTTTATCTGTCTGAGCTTGTCAGCTGATATTGAATAAGGAAAAAATAAATCAAACAATTTTTCTCTTCTCTTATGCACACATATTACCCTTTTTGTACTGTAAAATGGTGCATTTTTGTAATTTTTACCCCGAAAGAATAATAGTAAACATTTCAAACCACCCTCCAAGTCTGTAGGAATTTTTTCTCTGTTCATTTCTCTAAATTTTATATTTAAATTAATTTTTTCTGTACCAGAATTTTGTCATGTATGCTAATATCTTCCTCCAATAGCTTTGAATCAATCTGATGGCCCTCTAAGTCAAACAATGTTCATCATCCTCTCCTTACAGGGAGGTCAACTATCTCCTCTATCTCGCATTCTTTTGGACTTGAAGTGCACGCTATGAGTAGCATTTCGCTCAGATTCCAGTACACTCGTTTTAGCTATTTTCTTCCTCTGGAGCTTGAAGTGCTTGTGTTGAGTTTCATTCTGCCCAGCTCCACTACTTCTCCTTGTCTCCTGTTCCTACATTGCTATGAGGCTTAGAAGTGCCTGCTATGAGTAGCATTTCGGTTCATATTTCAGAATTTTACTTTTGTCTGTATCTTATTTCTGAAAGGTCTGGAAGTGCACGCTTTGAGTCGCATTTCAGCCTTGGTCCAAATTTCAAATTGAATTAATTAATTGTTGAATAAATGTGCAACCAAAAGAGTGAGAGGTGGATTCTTGCAAGTTTAGCTTGCTCAGTTTAGTTTAGCAACTGACATTTCATTTGTGTTTCGTAAAGTAAAATCTGATTTTGTAAAAAAACCAGAAACTGGTAAATTGAGACAAGCCTTGAGGCATTCTTTTCTTTCTTGTTTAAATCTATTAAATGACGCCCGAATCCAAGATCACAACGAGTTCATCCGGCACCTGAACTGACATTGGCAGGTCTCTTTCCTGAGGACGTTTAAAGTGCCTTAGAAGACCTGGACCTGCTCTCAGTAAAGGAGGGGGACATCTGCCTTGTTACAGGCAAAACAGTAAGCTTACAATTAGTTCAAATAGCACACTAAAGAAAAATGATTCAACTTACGTATTGTTGTTGACCACATTTTTTAATGCTCTTCCCTAAGTATGACAGCCTCCCTTGAAACCATATTTTTAAGTTTTCTTAAATTGAATTTCTGCTTTACCTTTTTCCAGGATGATGAATTTATCAATGTCTAATGTGCTCTTTTCTGATCCTTCTGGGAAATGTTTCAATTTTGATAAGTTTTTTGTTCAAGCAAAGAATATCCGTCACGTTCACCTACCGAGAGAGGTTTGTTTTGCTTATTGCTTTGTTACTACATCAAATGAATAATCATCTTAATTCTCTATCATTAGTCCAAAAATTCTCTGCAGGTGGAAGGTGAAAGGAGGGAAGAGAATTAGTGATTTCCAATATCTGTGGTTTAAGTAAATGTCCTCATACTTGGTTTTTTTTTCTCTCTTACTATACTCGTTCTGTTCCAATTGTTTTATTTCTTTCTTTTTCCTTCTTTTGGTTTGTCTTGACACTACTCAAAGAAAGAAAATGAGCATTATTTATTCCACCCTCAGGTTCAATACTACCCAATCCTTATCCCACAACTTTGAGAGGGCCTTTAAGCTGCGTATGAACAAACTGTTGCAACCACGTTGCAATTCGGTATGCTCTTGCCGACCCCTTTGGCTTTTTATTCCTGCCACTAGACCCCTGTTGCGAGATTTCAGTGGCGTGCGATGGGGTTTAGTTACAGGGCAACCTCTAACGTTCGCCACTGGGGGGAGGGGGGTGTTTTTACGTAGCCCCCTTTCCCTCCTCACGAAGCCCCCCTACAAAATTGTTGAAAATTCAGATCCTCGCAACCCTCTATTCACTCTATTTTTCTGATGGAACGTCTTGAAAAACGGTGGTTTTGTGTGTTCTCTTATTTACTTATGATTTCGTTTACTCAACTTGTTTCGAATATTTTTGAGAATTGGAGGACGGCTCCATGCTCCCAACTACCGATTTTGCCACATATTTGAGGTATTTCTAGTCTTTTTTCTACAGCGTTCAGAATATTTTGAGTTTTTTAAGTGTCGCAAAAAACATCTTTCTGCGTTTAAAACATGACTGAGAATTGTCTTATTCATCATCACCAAATAGATCTAAGTGAGCGACATATTATAGAAATGGAGGACACTTGCTCCAGAGGGATCAATCGCGACCGCGACGGAAAGAGGGAACAAGATAGCGTATCGGAGGCAAAAGCAGCGCGCTGCGGTAAGGGGGCCAAGAGAAGCGAGTTGCGATCGCGCAGCGAAGGGCTCGAAGCTCGAACTCGGAACGTACCGCTCATCACCCCGCCCGCCTTGATTATGCCGCCTGGGCCCCTGGGGGCCGCAATATTTTAACTCATTTGACAGGGAATGCGTAGTTTAGATTGGCTTTTCATGTTTAAATTGAAGGAGACTACATCTCCACGTAGTTTCAAGCATTATACATCAAATACAAGCGTCAATACTTTTCCGACGCTAGATCGGGGGCTTTGCCCACTGTACGGCGCGCAGCGCCGAGTGCAAGATCCATCCATATAGGTCAGTCATTGCGCAGATTTCCCCGCTCGGGGTAAGCCCCTTCCCATTGGCTCGTGACGTCAGCATTACTGCCGCGAAAACCAGAAAAGTCGGAAACAATGCTTTTCTTATGGGAGAGAGCAAATTTTTCTTAATGAATCATTTAAATTTCTTACTTTTAAATCCTTTGAAACTTTCTGTGTGTCGAAAAGAACGTTTAGACATTAGCATTCAGGGTTTCGATTTTGCCGAATTTGTGTTCTTTCATTTTTACAGTTTACTCTGCATCAGCCATTTTTACACGCGAATCTATACCACTAGATGGCTTGTTACATCGCTGACTTCAAAAATCATTTAAAAATATAAAAACGCAAATTCAGCTGAATTGAAACCCTTGACGCTAATTTCTAAACGTTCCTTTCGACACTCAGAAAGCTTCAAAGAATTTAAAAGTAAGAAATTTAAATGATTCATTAAGAAAAATTTGTTCTCTCCCATAAGAAAAGCATTGTTTCCGACTTTTCTGGTTTTCGCGGCAGTAATGCTGACGTCATGCGCAGAAGATTCTCATTTGGGTTTCGGGAATGACTGACCTATATGGATGGATCTTGGCCGAGTGAACCCTACTTGAGTTCTGATTGGTTACGACGAACGAGTGCTGCCGGACCAGTCGGAGCGCAGCCGAATTCCACGCACTGCACGATTATCTCAAAAAGGACAACAGAGTCGCAGTATACCGGAGCGCAGATGAAGGCAATCATAGAACGATGCATTTCTAGCCTCTTGTTCGCCTGGAAGTTTGAACCATCCGGCATATTTAACAATACAGCGCGAAAGAATCGCGGGCCGCGAACGGTTATTGAGATTTATTAATTTGAATCGATTATTATTTTCGCGAATTTAGGCAAATCATATTGACCCGAGTCATACAACCTTCTAAAATGCAGGAAACTCCCGGTTTATGTGAAATCATTATATTACAGCTCTTAGCGCGCGCAAAATTTGTGCCTGGAATTTCTCCCCTCGCGTGACGCGCCACGAAGGCCCACCAACCGCTCACCACAGCGGTAGCGTCCCTCCCCCTCCCGGCGCCGCGCCCGCCCGCCCGTCCTCCGCCGGCTGCAAGGCAGAGTCTCCGCCCTTCCACCCGCACCCCATATCGCGCCTTGCTCATCGGCTTTCAGAACACTGCGCAACCGTGGCCAGAGGTTTCTTTCCATCCCTCTCTTCAACCTCTGCAGGCCCTGCAGCCAGTGCCGGGGAGGCTTCCCTTTTGTCAGCCCGAAACTGTCTAGAATTCACCTAGACACAAGGAGGATGTCACATTGTCACATGGCAAAGAGTATTAACTGTCTCTGAAACTTCCTAGAACTCTCTCCTTCATCATTCAGGCGACCGTTAGTAAAACGATGACCCTCATTAATCTCTCCCAGAACTTTATAGAATTTTCTCGGACTTTCGTATGGTGTCATACTTAACTGACAATGGCTTTTCTCGAATTTTTTCAAACTCTCTAATTTTCTCCATGTGATGCGCAATTAAATTGATGCCCTCGCCTCGCCATGTCCTTTTGGGAGCTTTCTAGAATGTTCTTAAACTTTTAGAAGAGTTTTGCAAGGCGACGTGTGGCATATGTTTCTGGAACTTTCTCGAATGTAATCAAAGTGGCACTAACAGGAATATACATACAGGCACTAACAGGAGCCACTGTCACTGGAGGACCTGGGGGCTAAGCCCTCTGGCTTGCCGCAGAGCCGCGCTTCTTGAGCCCGGAAAGGCTAGTGAATTTTAAACCTATATTTTTCTGGCGAAGCCCGGAGTTGGGACCTCGCGCCAACGGCACCAATAGTCGCTGCACACTAGTCTCAGGAGCACGGAACACAATAGCCTCATAAAGTGCTTTGAAGTTAATCGTCAGCTGTAATTCCGGAAAAATTCACCACGTCGCGTTGCTTAAATCTGGCTCCGACATCCGTGATTATTTAATTATTACAACGGATTTATCAAATTCTGGGACTCATAAGTTATAGCAGCATTTGTCTGGAATGTTTAAAAATTAACGCGAGCTTTGAAAGTTTAATAATAAAAGCTAAAACTTTCTCGCAGATCTTTCATGGGATGCCTCTACTTGCGAGAAATACAGTTCACGGTGAGACAGAGATATACAGGGTTATTCAAAAGTTACGCACCACTGGCCATAACTTTAGTTCTAATTATGATATCGATTTGCGGTTTGTGGCGTCCTTCCTCATATCGAGGGGGAAACTTTTTGAGGTACTTTTCAGTTTTCGGGGGGCAACTCAAAAATTTCAAATGGCAACCCCCATCATGTGATACATCGTTAGAAAGAGCATGAAAAAAGAAAATTTTTGGCGCAAAC